ATCCCCATGTCCACAAAAATTACAAAAAATTAGCTAGGCATGGTGACACACGCCTGTAGTCCCAGCTACCTGGGAGGCTGAGTTGGGAGGATCACCTGAACTTAGGAGGTTGGGGCTGCAGTGATCCATGATGATTGCACCACTGCACTCCAGCCTGGGAAAGAAAAAAAAAATGTTTCCCACATAGTCATATTACTCAATGTGTAGTCCATGAATCAAGAGCATCAGCATCACTTGAGAGGTCTACATTTCAATGAGATCCTCAAGCAATTTCTATACACATTAACATTTGAGGAATACTGCTACAGAGTACTCATACAGAAGAGCAAAGATGTATCTATGGGGATTTAAACAGCGTTATTTGTAATACTGACAGTTTTTTTTTAAAAGTTAATATCCATCAGTAGGGAACAGTTAAAAGTCTAACCAGGCTTGGTGGCACACAGCTGTAGTCCCAACTACTTGAGAGGCTGAGGCAGGTCGATGGCTTGAGCCCAGGAGTTTGAGGCTGTAGTGCACAATGATTGTGGGCAGGAAACAGGACCTCGACGTTGGACCAGATTCAAGACTGGCTGAAACTGGAAAGAGGCACAGAAGGAACTTCTCCGTGAGACACGCCCACCAGCACGACAGTTTACCACTGCCATGGCGACACCCGGAAGTTACTGCCTTTTTCCATAACAACCTGGAAGTTACCACCCCTTTTCTGGAAATCTCTGAATAACCCACCCTTTAATTTGCATGTAATTAAAAGTCAGTATAAATGTGACTGCAGCCGTTTCCATGAGTTGCTGCTCTCCACACACTGCCTAGAGGGTGGTCTTGCTCGGTAGGAGCAGGCATAGGGCTGTAAAACTACCTCCTCAATAAAGCTATAACTTCTACCACATGCTCAAGAAAGAACCATGAGCCAATATTATTGGGCTAATCGCCAATTTGGGTGCTCACCTGCCCTGCATCAATTGTGCCTGTGAAAAACCATTGCACTCCAGCTGTTACCGGTTGAGAGTAATTGTCCAGGTTCTTAGCGTTTTGAACAAAGAATTGGACAAAACACACAAAGCAAGGCAGTGAAAGCAGAGTTTTTGTTTTTGTTTTTGTTTTTTAATTTTTCCCCCCTGAGACGGAGTCTTGCTCTGTCGCCCAGGCTGGAGTTCGGTGGCACGATCTCGGCTCCTGGGTTCAAGCAATTCTCCTGCCTCAGCCTCTTGAGTAGCTGGGATTAGAGGCTTGCCCCACCACGCCCGGCTAATTTTTGTATTCTTAGTAGAGATGGGGTTTCCCCACGTTGGCCAGGCTGGTCTCCAACTCTTGACCTCGTGATCCACCGAAAGCAGATTTATTTTAAAGGAAAGTACAATCCGCAGGGTGCGAGCACGCTCGAGCAAGTGGCTCAAGAGCATTGGTAACAGAATTTTCTGGGGTTTAAATACCCTCTAGAGGTTTCCCATTGGTTCGGTCTATGCAAATAAAGTAATGGCCCACCACCAGTCTAATTGGTTGTGGGAGGGGACCAATCAGAATGAAGAGTAGGCCTTCTATCAGTCTGATTGGTTGTGAGAGGGGACCAATCAGAGATACTTTCATTTTTCAACTGCTGTACAGAGAAAAGAGGGTTTGAAAAGGGAGTACCCTCTGATACTCAGTCAGCATGATTCGGCCTTAGGTTCCCTGCCTCCAGACCCTGTTCTCCTGCCTCACAGTGAGACTCTCCCTAGAAAAACACAAGAAAGAAAGGAAAGCGGTAGTATATTCACATAATGGAAGACTAGACAACTATGAGGAAAATAAAGAGATTTATGCTCAGTGACATGAAAGAAGCCCAAGACATGTTAGAATTGAATAATTAGAGGAAAAAAAAAACCCTAATCTAATAAAAAAAAATCTGTTTTTTTTTTTTTTTTTTTAGACTGAGTCTCACTCTATTGCCCAGGCTGGAGTGCAGTGGTGCGATGTCAGCACACTGCAACCTCTGCTTCTCAGGTTCAAGCGATTCTCCTGCCTTCACCTCCGGAGTAGCTGGGATTACAAATGCCCACCACCACGCCCGGTGAATTTTTGTATTTTCAGTAGAGACAGGGTTCGCCATGTTGGCCAGGCTGGTCTTGAACTCCAGACCTCGGATGATCCGCCCACCTCGGCCTCCCAAAGTGCTGAGATTACAGGCGTGAACCAAAGCGCCTGGCCTTTTTTTTTTTTTTTTTTTTTTTTTTTTGAGACAGAGTCTCGATCTGTTGCCCAGCCTGGAGTGCAGTGCCGTCATCTTGGCTCACTGCAACCTTTGCCTCCCGGGTTCAAGCGATTCTCGTGTCTCAGCCTCCCAAGTAGCTGAAACTACAGGCACAAGCCACAACGCCTGGCTAATTTTTTTTTCTTTTCTTTTTTTTTTTTTTTTTGAGATGGAGTTTCACTCTTGTTGCCCAGGCTGGAGTGCAGTGGTGCGATCTCGGCTCACTGCAACCTCCGCCTCCCGTGTTCAAGTGATTCTCCTGTCTCAGCCTCCGGAGTAGCTGGGATTGGGGCGCCACCACCCCGGCTAATTTTTTGTATTTTTAATAGAGATGGGGTTTCACCATATTGGCCAGACTGGTCTTGAACTCCTGACCTCAGGTGATCCAACCCGCCTAGGCCTCCCAAAGTGCTGGGGTTACAGGCGTGAGCCACCACGCCCAGCCTAAATACTACTTTTATAATTGAAAGAGACTCTATCTAGACCAGCCAATGGGGGAAAAATATCAAGGATGTTGTGGAGTATCTAGCTCTCATTACACAGTGTAACTTCAGTTCTTGCCAACTACAAATAAAATAAAACCTTCAATGGCTCCCCCCAGCTTTCAGTATAAAGTCCAGATCCTTCAGTGTGATCCAAGTCTGTTTACTGCTTCTACCATATTCCAACCCCCCACTGCACCTACTGTTCCAGCCAGCAGAACCACCTGCTTTCTCTGCACAGGCATTGAGCTCTTTCTTCTCCAAGTGTTACCACAGGTGATTCCTGTGTCTGAAATCTCTGCCCCGAATATATGGCATCATGTATGTGCATATACTATACAGTGATCCCTAGCACTCAGTAAAAGCTCTATAAATGTTGGGTGTGATTATTACAACATGTCTCATTATATTGAATTACTTGGGTATTTAACCTTGTCACTGAACTGTACACCTCTTGAACATACAAGATAAGGACTTCCGTGCTTACTGTCCCCGAGGGCCAAGCATGTAGAGCCAGGGACAGATTAAGAGCTTAACAAACGCGTGGCAGGGTGCAGTGGCTCATGCCTGTAATCCCTGCATTTTGGGAGGCCGAGGCGGGCGGATTACTTTAGACCAGAAGTTTCAGACTAGCCTGGGCAACATGGCAAAACCTTGTCTCTACAAAAAATACAAAAAAATTAACTGGGCATGGTGGCGCACAGCTGTAGTCCCAGGTACTCAGGAGGCTGAGACGGGAGGATTGCTTGAGCCCAGGACGCACAGGTTGCAGTAAGCTATGATTGCTCCACTGCACTCCATCCTGGGTGACAGAGGGAAACTCTATTTCAAAACAAAAATAAAAACAAAATAACAAAAGTCTAGCTGGGTGCGGTGGCTCACGCCTGTAATCTCAGCACTTTGGGAGGCCAAGGCGGGTGGATCACAAGGTCAGGAGATCGAGACCATCTGGCTAACACGGTGAAACCCTGTCTCTACTAAAAATACAAAAAAATTAGCCGGGCCTGGTGGCGGGCGCCTGTAGTCTCAGCTACTCCGGAGGCTGAGGCAGGAGAATGGTGTGAACCTAGGAGGCGGAGCTTGCAGTGAGCCGAGATCCCGCCACTGGACTCCAGCCTGGGCAACACAGCAAGACTCCATCTCAAAAAAAAAAAAGTGTGTGTTCAAGGACACATTCCTAACCCTTACATCACAACTTTTCTTCCCATCTAATGTGTCTTCCTCTTTCTTCTTGGCCAAGGAAAATCATATCCATTTCTTTCGACTACCTCAAACCACATGGATTTTTCTGTTCTCCACACTCCGACAATACAATAACTTTCATTTGTATAGCACATCTAACTCTTCAGAGTGCTTTCATATTTATTATTTATTTTTCCTCACAGCAACCCCTGTACCAAGGACACAGGCCAAGGGTGGGGAGGAGCAGGAAAATGTTTACTAAGGGTCAACTAAGTGCAAGGCGATTTACCCGCATTATCTGTTTTAATCCCTTAACAATCCTTACAGGTGGACATTTTAATTCCCATTTCACAAGTGTGGAAATTAGATCTTAGTAAGATTTCATAACCTGCTGAAGAACACACAGGTATTAAGTGGTAGAGATGGGTTTTGAAGCTGGTGTCTCTGACTTTAAAGTCCCTACTGGTTCCATGACACCAAGTAAACAGATCTGCCTATTAACTATATTCCTCCAAGCTGCCCTGGGCAGGAGGTAATGTAATACTTTCTGATTTCTTGTCCACCACATCTTCCATCAGACCACTTTGATGTTATATAAAGTCTGTAGGCACAATTTAACAATGAATCACATACCATCTTACCTGGTTACCTGATTGTTTCATTTACATTCGATTCCACAACAAGATTGGTAACATCCCCCTTTCCCCAGGCAGGAATTGTGTCATCTTAACCTCCCTGAGCCTCAGTATCCTCTTCTTTCAAATGTCTGTCTTACAGGACTGTTGCAGAGATTAAATACCAGTTGTAAAGACGTTTGACATAATGTCTCGCACAAACTCTTCAGAAATATTTATTGCATCTCAACATCTTTTTCAACTTCTTCAACACGTCAGACAGGCCTGAGTGCCTGGGTTTTTGGCTATGCCAGTTCCTGTTGATTACTGATATAACAACGTTGAATCAGGAGTATTTCAGTGGGCAGATGTTGAATTTTCTGCCTTCCACCCACTAAAAGGTTTGCATCAAACCAGTCCAGGATAACTCATACTGGATCCCTGCCAGTTGATATAGTTAAGCTGATCTACAGATAAGAAAGAGTCTTGGGTACGTTTAGCTAGTAAATGCAGATCTGCCAAGACTCCAACCCAGTTCTTAAGATACTTGTGTCTGGGCTCCTTCCGCTCTACCAAGCCACCTTTCAAAGGTCTACCTGAAAATAACTAATGAGCAGAAACTATAGGGGGAAGGGGAAAAGACCCCTTATCTTGGTGTTTCTTGCTTTTCCTCGCAGCCCCGCCCTTTTTGCTTCGAAGGGTGAGTTTTTCCTGAATTCACAATACTTTTGCATTGAAGATGTCGGGGGTCCCTTTAAGGTCTTGGGTGACGTAATGACTAGCCCCGCCCTCTCTCTTCTCTCTTCTCAGCCCTGGCCATTTTTTTTTTTTTTTTTTGTCCTCAACCAATTAGCGGCCCGACGCCCTTTCCGCGCCTCATCCGGGTTCCCGGGACTGGGAAATTGGCCTGGTAACCAGGCAACTACTGATCAATCCCCTCCCCAGCTGATTTGCGCATCAGGTAGTCGCCGCTCTGCGCTCAACGGTGGCGAGTTTCAGTAGCCAAGTGCCCCGCCCCCGTTGCCATAACAGCAGTACACAACCCCTCCTTCCCCTCGCCCGCTTGCTAAACAGTCCTTCCCTCTCGGGACCAAGGGCCTCTCCAGAGCTGCTTCTGATTGAGCAGAAACAGGGTCTGAGCCCCTTTGCTAAGGCGAATTGAGTGGGAGGACTGGAGACTGCGCTTTAGGCTGGTGTACCAGAGGGCCCAAGGAAATTGGTCCAGTGGGGAGGGAAAAGTAGAAGAAATGAATGGAGCGGGGATTAGGGATGGCGCAGTGGGAGCTAAGAGGAGAGGAGGAGGAGGAGGACTTGGTAGGGAAGAGTGGAGAGCATGGCTTAAGGGGGAGGTGGGAAGAATGGGGGAGAGGGAAGCCCAGGAAATAGGGACACTGGGCTGCTGGAGGAGAGCTGGAGCCACTGCGAAGGACAGGAAAGGCCTGGGGGTGTGGGTGACATCCTGAAGGGAGGGGGTCCTCAGTGGAAAGTGTGAAGTGGGGGTTGAGAGTCAAAATGAGATGTTCACAGGGATGAGGAAAGAAGCCTAGAGTTGGTGGGTCAGAAGTGATGGGGGTGATGGGAGTGGCACGTGTCAATGACGATGAAGGAGCTGAAGGCTGGCAGAAGCTGAGGAGACCTTCTTTCTCAGGAGGAGGACTGAGCTTATCTGACTTCAGAGCTTTCAGGAGGGAAGAAAGATGTCAGATGAAGATGATCTAGAAGACTTTGAGCCAGACCAGGATGATTTTGAGAAAGAAGAGGACGAGAAGGAGACAGAGGAGGGGGAGGACTACAGAAAAGAGGGGGAAGAGTTCCCTGAGGAAGTGAGAGCCTGGACAAAGAGGGGTCCTAGGGCTGAGGGGCGGGGTTGGGCAGGGGAGGGACGCCTTATTCCACTTCCACCTGCAGTGGCTGCCCACGCCCCTCACGGAGGACATGATGAAGGAAGGGCTTTCTCTGCTCTGTAAGACAGGCAGTGGGCTGGCTCATGCTTATGTCAAGCTGGAGGTTAAAGAGAGGTGCGTTGTGGGGGGACCAGATGAGGACTGTGAGATTGTAGGGCCCCTGTCTCCTTTCCCACTGTCATTCCTGGGTGTTCTGGCTGAGAGTTTGACCCTTCTCATGCCTAGTGGAAAGGGAAGGACAAAATTTACTTTTCAGGAGCGCTGAGACTTCTATCAAAGCTGACCTGGGGAATTGGAGACTGAGAGTATATGGGGGGATTCCTGCTGGATTCCCTCATTTGTCTTTCAGAGTATGGGTTCTCTGTCCTTCACAGACACAGGTCTTTCTGCCCACTGTTAAGAACCCACCTACCTTCTCTTACCCTTCTTCTCGCCTACCATCTGTTGCCCATTCTTCTCCTCATTATAAGCCTTCTGCTTTAGCAACTCTGCCAGTCCTCGCTGGGTTCTTAACCCTAAACCTGGTTCCTTCTCCCTCTTCCATCTCCTAGGGACCTGACAGACATCTACTTGCTGCGCTCCTACATCCATCTGCGCTATGTGGATGTTTCTGAGAATCACCTGACAGACCTGTCGCCACTCAACTACCTCACCCACCTGCTCTGGCTCAAGGCTGATGGCAATCGGCTGCGAAGTGCCCAGCTGAATGAACTGCCCTACCTGCAGATTGCTAGTTTTGCTTATAACCAGATTACTGACACTGAAGGCATCTCTCATCCTCGTCTTGAAACCCTGAATCTCAAAGGTGGGTCTTTTTTTTTTTTTTTGAGACGGAGTCTCGCTCTGTTGCCCAGGCTGGAGTGCGGTGGCCGGATCTCGGCTCACTGCAAGCTCCGCCTCCCGGGTTCACACCATTCTCCTGCCTCAGCCTCCCGAGTAGCTGGGACTACAGGCGCCTGCCACCTCGCCCGGCTAGTTTTTTTGTATTTTTTAGTAGAGACAGGGTTTCACCGTGTTAGCCAGGATGGTCTCAATCTCCTGACCTCGTGATCCGCCCATCTCGGCCTCCCAAAGTGCTGGGATTACAGGCTTGAGCCACTGCGCCCGGCCAAGGTGGGTCTTAGGATGGGCTACACAAGATTCTTTCCTTCCTAGCCTGAGGCCAACAGAAGTGGGCAGTATGGTCCTTGGCTATGGCACATGGCAGTCTGCATTCATTCATTCAGATACGCAATGTGATTCATTATGACAGTTCTACATGTTAACCATATAGGAGCGAATAAGACAAGAAATGTCCCTATTCTCATATAGCTTATATTTCTAGTTGGGAAAGACGTACAAGTAACAACAAACACAATACGTAAATTCATGTAGCATGTTAAAAGGAGACAAGTGCCTTGGAAGAAATAGATCAGAGTAAGAGGAATGGGGGACATAGGTGGCAATGTCAAATGGATTGGTTAGGACAACCATCACTGAGAAGATGACATTTGAGCAAAGAGTTGAAGAAGGAGAGGGAATTAGACATGTCAGCTGCTTCGTTCACTCTTCAAAGGCTTAGGTGGATATGTCCATCAGGACCTTGGACTACCACACCACTTGCCCCAGGGCTCTGGAGGTATTAAGTCTGGAGCTGTCCTTCCTCACTACTACCCTGCTTTGTGAATGTCCAGGGTAGGGTGATTTAGAGGCTTCCCAAATTCAGGCTCTAATGCTGAACATTTGGAGTGGCCCTTTGAGCTCTTGAAACCCTCCTCCCCAGGAAACAGAATCCACATGGTGACAGGTCTGGACCCCCAGAAGCTGATCAGCCTGCACACAGTGGAGCTTCGGGGGAATCAGCTGGAAAGCACGGTGGGGATCAATCTTCCTAAGCTGAAGAACCTCTACCTGGTAACTCACTGGGTCATAGGGTGGTGCAGGGAAGAGGGCACTGTCCTGGGGGTCAGGATGCCTGTTTTCTAGTAGGCTCAGCTACTAACTTCTTCATTATGATAGTAACTGGTATTATCAAGCCCATAGTTGGTTCCAGATACTGTGGAGATACAGAGCCACCTAGCAGGGCTGATAATATATAATGTGTGGATAATACAGAGATAATTTACTTTGATACAGGTAGCAGCAAAATGGACCATAATTGAGGTACAAACATCAGGCTGTGGAAATGTTTTAGGAAAACTCTCCTCTCAGATTGGGTTTTTCTTCAGCTCTTGCCCTAGCCACCACAGCAATAATCAACCTAAGACTTCCGGGGCCCAAGATGTGGGGTTTCTCCCCATACACCAAGTAGTAGACACCAGCTGGGTGATCTCTAATTCGATTCCGACACTATCTACCTGGGGATAGCATCAGATCCCACAGATTGAGGGCTCAGTTCCCAAGAGTGACCCCCACACCGTCCGCAGACACCAGTTGCAAGTCCAAACCTCCGGAACTTCTGACACATCAGCTTCAACATGAAGCTGGTTCCCATGACCTCTTTTTTGGATTTAATTAATTTTCTGGAGTGACTTTTTATCAGTTTATTGCAAGGGCAAAGGACACAGATGAAGAGATGCATAGGGCAAAGTCTGGGGGAATAGGTGCAGTGCTCCATGTCCTTCCTGGGTGCATCACCCTCCAAAAGCCTTCATGTGTTCAGCTACCCAGAAGCTCTCTGGACCCAGTCCTCTTGGGTTTCCATGGAAGCTTCAAATATTAGTATTCCCTCCCCCAGGGAATTGGGGAGGCTGTCTCTGGGGAGGGTCTTAAGAACCACAATCAGGCTGGGCACGGTGGCTCACGTCTGTAATCCCAGCACTTTGAGAGGCTGAGGCGGGCGGATCACGAGGTCAGGAGTTCAAAACCAGCCTGGCCAACATGGTGAAACCCTGTCTCTACTAAAAATACAAAAATTAGCCACACATGCTGACATGTGCCTGTAATCCCAGCTACTCGGGAGGCTGAGGCAGCAGAATCGCTTGAACCCAGGAGGCAGAGTTTGCAGTGAGCTGAAATGACACCACTGCAATCCAGCCTGGGAGACAGAGCAAGAAAAAAAAAAAAAAGAGGCCGGGTGCGGTGACTCATGCCTGTAATCCCAGCACTTTGGGAGGCTGAGGCGGGCGGATCACGAGGTCAGGAGATTGAGACCATCCTGGCTAACACGGTGAAACCCCATCTCTACTAAAAATACCAAAAAAATTAGCCAGGTGTGGTGGTGGACATCTATAGTCCCAGCTACTCAGGAGGCTGAAGCAGGAGAGAGGCGTGAACCTGGGAGGTAGAACTTGCAGTGAGCCGAGATGGCACCACTGCACTCCAGCCTGGGCAACAGAGCAAGACTCCGTCTCAAAACAACAACAAAAAAAAAAAAAAAAACACAACCAGAAAGAGGGAGAAGCGGGGAAAGATTAGAGCCTTCCCTTGGGGCAGGTGAAAAGACAGCAGGAGAAGGTTCCTGAGACCTGCCCCTGAGACCCAGCACACCCAACTTTATAACAAAAGACTGCAACAAGGGCTATTATGGGAGTTATAAACTAGGGACTGTGGATGAAAATCGTTATATATAATAACACCACAGGGCCGGGCGCGGTGGCTCAAGCCTGTAATCCCAGCACTTTGGGAGGCTGAGACGGGCGGATCACAAGGTCAGGAGATCGAGACCATCCTGGCTAACACGGTGAAACCCTGTCTCTACTAAAAAATACAAAAAGCTAGCTGGGCGAGGTGGCGGGCGCCTGTAGTCCCAGCTACTCGGGAGGCTGAGGCAGGAGAATGGCGTGAACCCGGGAGGCGGAGCTTGCAGTGAGCTGAGATCCGGCCACTGCACTCCAGCCCCGGTGACAGAGCGAGACTCCGTCTCAAAAAAAAAAAATAAAAAAAAAAAAAACACCACAGGAAGCCACTGAAATATTTAGTCTTTTAGACTCTTAAGCTTCGTTATTCTGGGATGGTGCTGATGGCAATCCTCAGTGGTGGCATGGGGGCTCCTGGGCCATATGGGGAGTGGGCTGAAGCATCTCCTCCATCCCAAGTGGCTTTGGGGGGTGAGTGGTAGCGGGTTACTGCTGACCTTTCTCTGGGATGGCAGCTTCTCCTGAACTTCTTTTTTTTTTTTGAGACGGAGTCTCGCTCTGTCACCCAGGGTGGAGTGCAGTGGCCGGATCTCAGCTCACTGCAAGCTCCGCCTCCCGGGTTCCCGCCATTCTCCTGCCTCAGCCTCCCGAGTAGCTGGGACTACAGGCGCCCGCCACCTCGCCCGGCTAGCTTTTTGTATTTTTTTAGTACAGATGGTGTTTCACCGTGTTAGCCAGGATGGTCTCAATCTCCTGACCTCGTGATCCGCCCGTCTCGGCCTCCCAAAGTGCTGGGATTACAGGCTTGAGCCACCGCGCCCAGCCAACTTCTTTACTTTCTATACTGATCTCTACTCATCCCCACTCCCTTCTTCCACTCCTCCCTCTCAACGTCTTGGATTTCCTCTTTTGCATTATCTCATTCTGACTTCTCTTTCTTCCCTGTCCCTGCTCCTTCTCAATCAATCCACTGTGCCCTGGGGGTCTAGGCCCAAAACCTGCTGAAGAAGGTGGAAGGCTTGGAGGACCTGAGCAATCTCACCACCTTGCATCTTCGAGACAACCAGATTGACACTCTGAGTGGCTTCTCCAGGGAAATGAAATCATTGCAGTACCTCAACCTGAGGTATGCACCCCTTCTAAGCCCCACCTTGTCCCTACCCCTGACCAGGCGCAGCTTTTGAGTCTGTGTTCCTCCCTGGCCCAATTCCCCAGTCCTAGCCTACAGCTGGATACTCACCTCATCCTCCTCCCTGATCCTCACCCCGCCTTTCCTTACTTTCTTCTGCACTGAGTTGCAACACTAAGTCCCTTATAGCTTGTGACCCCTGAATTTGTATTCATTCAATCCACAATTATTGAGAATGTGCTATATGCCAGGCCTTGTGCTGTGTTTTGGGGACATTTAAAGGAATCAGAGGCTGGGCATGGTGGTTCATGCCTGTACTCCCAACACTTTAGAAGGGAGGATCACTTGAGGCTAGGAGTTCAGGACCAGCCTGGGCAACATAGTAAGACCATGTTTCTACAGAAGTAAAAATAATGGCTGGGCATGGTGGCTCACACCTGTAGTTGTAACATTTTGGGAAGCTGAAGCGGGCAGATAATTGGAGCCTAGGAGTTTGAGACCAGTCTGGGCAACATGGCAAAATCCCGTTTCTACCAAAAATACAAAAATTAGCCAGGCATGGTGACAAGCACCTGTAATCCCAGCTACTCAGGAGGCTTAGGCGGGAGGATTGCTGGAGCCTAGAGGTGGAGTTTGCAGTGAGCTGAGATCAAGCCACTGCACTCCAGAGTAGGTGACAGAGCCAGACCCTGCCTCAAAAACAAAAAATATTAAATAAAAATTAAAATATTAAATTAAAAATAAAAATTAACTGAGCCTCGTGGTGCACACCTGTGATTTCAGCTACTTAGGAGGCTGAGGTAGGAGGATCACTTGAGCCCAGGAGTTCAAGGTTGCAGTGAGCCATGATTGTGCCACTGCACTCCAGCCTGGGTGACAGAGTGAGCTGTCTCTAAAAGAAATAAAGGAATCAGAGGTGATTCCTGTTCCTAAGGGGCTCACAGTGTGGCTCCAACTCTTTTTTCCTTGCCCTATCCTATATAAGCTTCCACTGCCCTTCTCCATTTCCTCGGTCCCAATTCACCTTCCCATTTCCTGCCTCTCTTCTCCTGAGCCCCACCTGTAACGGATGACCTTTTTACTGATATAAAACACAAGATGTGCTCAGATTTGAGGAGAGAACGACATTTGTAAGAAAATCTTTTGGTAGAAAGGCACTGAAGATCAGCCACTCTTGTCGGATGGAGGACTTTATGTGTGTGTCTTTAAGCAAACATGTAAGGAAACTGCCTCTTTCCTTAGTCAACAAGACCAGATTCTTGAGCTGGCAATGGAAAGAGCATCTCCAAGTAGGGAGAGGTGGTTGCATCTGGAAGCCCCAACTCTCATCCTGACCCCCTGGGCAATCTCTTATTCATGAAGTCTGCCACACAGATCTGATGGGGTGTGTATATGTGCCATCTTCCTGTTAATGATCTAGACAGGCGTGATGGGCCCTTCCTGAGTGGCTATTAAATGGGGATGTTTTGAGAGTAAGTCGGGTGTGTGTGTGGAGGGGGGTGAGGGTGTTTCAATGATTGGGAGGTGCCTCTGGGGCCAGAGATGCTAAGCATCCAACAATGCAAGGCAGAGTCCAGTACAAAGTGCCTGTAGCCCTCCTGGTGAGAAACACTGCATGAGGCTCAGCACGACCACGAGATCAGGCTGAAACACTTAAATATGATTGTATAAAGGCTTAAAGCGAGAACGTGAAAATAAATAAAAGGCCAGGCACAGTGGCTCATGCCTGTAATCCCAGCACTTTAGGGGGGCCAAGGCAAGAGGACTGCTTGAGGCCAGGCATTCAAGACCAGCCTGGGCAACATAGTGAGACCCAGTCTCTACAAAAAATTTAAAAATTAGCCAGGTGTGGTGGCACGTGCCTGGAGCTACTTGGGAAGTTAAGGTGAGAGGATCGCTTGAGCCCAGGAGTTCAAGGCTGCAGTGAGCTATGATCATGCCACTGCACCCCCAACCAGGGTGACATAGTGAGACCCTATCTCAATAAAAATAAAAAAATAAATAGAGTATCATATAATGAGGCACATTAGGAGATGAAGTTTATTTTCCAGGTTGGGAGGCTCCAACCCATCTGTAGCCCTAGGTTCCCTTTGTGGGGAGCACCAACAGAGCACCCACCACTCTAAACTCCAGCTTAGATCCCAGTTCCTTGTCCCCTGACCTAGGTCCTACAGGGTAGAGTGCAGTGGCTCGATCTCGGCTCACTGTAACCTCAGACTCCTGGGGTCAAGCGATCCCTCCTCCTCAGCCAAGTAGCAGACACTACAGGTGTGTGCTACCACGCCCACCTAATTTTTTTATTTTTAGTTTTTGTAGAGATGGGGTCTCACTATGTTGCCCAGGCTGGGTCCTACCTTCTACCTTCTTTTTAGGTGTGATCACAGAAAACGTGTCTCCCTGTGAGGAAAATTTGCCCTCTCCTCCCCAGCTACAAGACAGGGTTGTGGCCTAGCTTTGCTGCACCAAAAGAACACATGAACACATGACAGAGTAGAATATGGCACTTAGGGACTCCTTGAAGAGCAGAAGCAGGACCAGAGTGGGGTTGCACAGCACCTCTGCAGTAAATCTGGCAAGGCTTGGCAGGCCAGTTCTCAGTGTTTCTAGGGAAACGGGAACCCAGTAGCAGAGTCCCCCAGAGGCCCCATTCCTAGCAACTGGCAACCAAAGCCCGTTATTCCTGCGTGAACCCCTCCTGACCACACTGGCAGGGGCAACATGGTGGCCAACCTGGGGGAGCTGGCCAAGCTTCGAGACCTGCCCAAGCTGCGAGCCTTGGTGCTGCTCGATAACCCATGCACGGAGGAAACCAACTACCGCCAGGAGGCCCTGGTGCAGATGCCATACCTCGAACGCCTGGACAAGGAATTCTATGAGGAGGAGGAACGGGCTGAGGCTGATGAGATTCGACAGAGTCTGAAGGAAGACAAGGAGAAGGAGCAGGAGCCTGAGCCCAAGCCTGACCTGGAACCGGAACAGTCATTGATCTAGCGGCAGTTCTAGCCTCTAAAGATAGTAAGGAAGCCTGCAGGGAGGCAGTGGGAGGAGGCCAAGGGCTGGGCAGGTAGGGAAAGAGGCAAGAGGGGAAGCTGCTGCAGAAGGAGGTGGGGGAGGAAAGCATCAGACAAGCAGAACCCTTAAAGAGAGCAGGGTTAGGAGTCAGGGAGAGGAAAAGGGACCTGTGGGGCCTGGGACCAGCTGAGAAAGGCTTAGGAGGCCAGAAGAGTAAGTGAAAAGAATTGGGGTGGCCGGCAGAGGAGTTGATGGGGGTGGGGCAGCCATACCTGACACAGAGTGAAGTCTGCTAGGAAAGGACAGGTGTGGGTGCATGGTAGGGGCTGCAGGGGAAGGCTGGTGGTGTATGCAGCTGGACCTAGGAGAGAAGCAGGAGAGGAAGATCCTGCACAAAAAATTTGAGCTAAAAATAACAGGACATAGAGGTGGGGGAAGAAAAGAGGGCGCAGTGAGGCAGAAGGAGACTGAAGAGATGAGGATGGCCGCCAGGCACTTTAGATAGGGCAGAGGCTTTATTTATTTACTTCGGTTTTCTTTTTTTTTTTGAGAGGGAGTCTCCCTCAGTCTCCAGGCTGGAGTGCAATGGCGTGATGATCTGGGCTCACTGCAAACTCCGTCTCCCGGGTTCAAGCAATTCTCCTGCCTCAGCTTCCCGAGTAGCTGGGACTACAGGCGCATGCCACCAGGCCTGGCTAATTTTTGTATTTTTAGCAGAAACGGGGTTTCACCACGTTAGCCAGGATGGTCTCGATCTCCTGACCTCGTGATGTGCCCGCCTCAGCCTCCCAAAGTGCTGGGATTACAGGCGTGAGGCACAGCGCCCGGTCCCTATTTACTTCTGTGTTCTACCTCCAGGAGATCAAAAACGCTGGCCTTCAGACCTGATCGGACTCCCGGGGGGCCACCACATTCATACCTCCTAGGGCGAGGACAGAGGATGCCTCTTTTTGCCCCAAAGCTGGAAATTCATCACAACCTGAGGCCCAGGATCCGCTCTGTGCGGGTCCTCTGGGCAGTGTGGGGTGCAGAGTGGGGTGCCTAGACCTGAGCGCTGCCTGGAGCCTAGGCCGGGGGCCGCCCTCGGGCAGGTGTGGGTGGGAGCCAAGCCCGCGTGGGCCGCGGGGTGCTGGTAGGAGTGGTTGGAGAGACTTGCGGAGGCGGCTGGGGTGTTCGGATTTCCAATAAAGAGACAGTGTGATGCTCCTGTGTCTGACCGGGTTTGTGAGACATTAAGGCTGTCTTGAGCTTCACTGGCAGTGTGGGCCTTCGTACCCGGGCTACAGGGGTGCGGCTCTGTTACTTTCGAGTGGGTTGGGCCGTGGGTATGAGCACTTGTGTGCGCGGGGGGGCCAGGTCGTGGGTGCCCCCACCCTTCCCCCATCCTCCCCCCTCCCCCACTCCACCCGCGTCGGTCCCCCACCCGCGCTAGTACGTGCGCCTCCGCCGGCAGCTCCTGACTCATCGGGGGCTCCGGGTCACATGCGCCCGCTCGGCCCTATAGGCGCCTCCTCCGCCCGCCGCCCGGGAGCCGCAGCCGCCGCCGCCGCCGCTGCCACTCCCGCTCTCTCCGCGCCGCCGTCGCCACCGCCACCGCCACTACCACTGGCTGAGTCTGCAGTCCAGAGGTGAAGCCCCCGCCGGGCCCCGAGCCCCTGCGGCCCCCTCCCCTCGCCGCGGCGCCCCCGTCCCCTTTACCCGGTGCCGCTGCGCACCTCTCCGCATCTCTGGCCCGGTGCAGCTACGCACCTGCTCGGCCGCCCGCGCCCAGGGCGCCCTCCCTCCCTGGCCTTCCCCGCCCGCTGCCCTAGCTTTCTGGCCCTCTCCACGCCTGTCTCTAACTGCGCCTCTCCACCCTTGCCCGCCTTTCTCCCGGTGCTCACCCTCACCTACGGTTCTGTCCATTTGTTTCTAAGTTGGGAGTCTCTCCGGGCGGTGCATTTTTATCCTGGCGCGTCCCTTTTGGTTTGCATTTGGGGAAATGTCTTCTCTCACCCTTCCTCACCGCCCCCCCGCCAGACTTCCCTTGGACTCCCCTCTCTTCTGCTCTTCCCCACGACGCCCCTCTCCGTTCGCGCTTCCTCCCCTCAGCTGCACGGGGGAGGGATGGAAGAAGTGGGGATTTGTCGGGGCGCAGGGAGGAGGACAGGCCCAGCTGGTCTCCACTCCCCACCGGCTCTTATCCTCTTCACTTCCCGCTGCAACCCCCAGGGACTGCAGGGCCTTTCTCAGGACCCTCTCCCCCGACACCTCTACTGCGTGCGCCTTTCGCGGGAAGAGGAGGGAGACACGTTTGGGAGAGAGTGGGACCTTGGGGAAGGGGCAGAGTTCAGGCAGCTGAGGTGTTAAGTTGGGGAGGGATGGGGGCTCTGGAAGAGAGGCCCAGGCAACCCATCCTCTTCGTGGCTCCCAGGAGAAATGCAAGCCTGGCAGCCATTCCGCTCTGAGGAGATCTGGGGGAACCCCACCGGCTGGCCAAGCTGCAAAGAGGCGCGGGAACCACTGTCGTGCCCCTCCCCTCCTCACTGCAGTGTTCTCCCATCTCATCATTTGATCGTACCCCGCCCCCCACTGCAGTGACCTCCCCTTCCTCACTGCATTGACCTTCTCCTCTTCCCAGGGGGGAGGGGGAATCCCTTCTACAGCCCTAGACTGCAGCCAGCACCTCCCTACCCACCCCCAACCCCACTGCAGTAACCTCTTTCCCATCCCTCCCAGCCTCCTGCCCCGCCCATTGATCTCAGGCTCCACCCCTCTAAGCCTCTTATCTTTCTCCTTCCTTCCCTTCCACCCGAGGAGATCCCAGCCATCATGTCCATAGAGAAGATCTGGGCCCGGGAGATCCTGGACTCCCGCGGGAACCCCACAGTGGAGGTGGATCTCTATACTGCCAAAGGTAATGGGTGTGGCATGGGCCTTCCTACAGCCCTAGCTTTTCCACCGCCAGGCTGGGTTTGGCCAGGGGTTCGGAGGCCTTTTTTGATATCCAGGGGGATGGGGTGCTGGGCCAGGCTCACAAGCCTGGGTTGTAAAGGTTGGATCCTCCTTGTCCAGGGAGCCAGGGTAGGTGAGTCTGTGTTCGAGTTGAGCGTGTGAGGCATGCCCTGCCTCCGTGTGTCTTCCGGTGCACCTGCATGTGTGTAGACGTGTGCTGCGAGCAATTTCCTTTTTGCGGGCTCCCACTTGTGCATGTGGGGCCTCAGATGGGCGGATGAGGAGGCCACTTCTTGTGCATCTGCCTCTGTGTGTGGCAGGGGGTGGGGGAGACGTTAGGGAGCAGTGTGGGGAGAGAGCTACATGTGGTAGGCAGGAAGTTTAGAGCCAGAAGGCTGAGGGACTCCCTGGCCCCTGTGTTCTCTTCACTCCCTCTCATTCCATGTTCCTCCTTTAGGTCTTTTCAGGGCTGCAGTGCCCAGTGGAGCCTCTACCGGCATCTATGAGGCCCTGGAGCTGAGAGATGGAGACAAACAGCGTTACTTAGGCAAAGGTGAGGTTCTTTCTCTTTTCCAGACTTTCCCCAACCTCAGCCTTATGCCCCTACCTCACACCAGTCCCCAGTCCTCCTCTAGCATGCCTTCCCCTCCTCCCATTGTCCCTTCCGGCCCCTCCTGGCCTGACCCAGTTCAGCCTCTTCCTTTCCCCAGGTGTCCTGAAGGCAGTGGACCACATCAACTCCACCATCGCGCCAGCCCTCATCAGCTCAGTGAGGCCCGCTCTTTGCTGGGGATAGCAGGGCCAGAGTTCTGGAAGGAATCCTGGAGCAGGGCAGGAGGAAGGGGAGAAAGAATGCCCACTTTTAGGAATCATGGTCACAAGGGGGAAGGGTGGGGAACAGATTCCTTACTGCCCCTGGTCCCATGGGGGTTCAGGTCCCCTAATCCAGGCAGGCCCCTGTCACAGGGACCTGGTTGGGCCCTGGCCAAATGTGAGCTAGGGTGTGAATGAGGGGACCCTCTGCCTGAGGGCTCAGCCTCCAGCCTGGCCCCGGGTGATGGAGGCTCTGCCCTCAGGGTCTCTCTGTGGTGGAGCAAGAGAAACTGGACAACCTGATGCTGGAGTTGGATGGGACTGAGAACAAATGTGAGCCGGGGCTGGGAGAAAGTGGGGAAGCATCAGGGTGGGGAGGCGTGGAGCAGATAGAGAGCTGAAGGGCCAGTGCTGTAATGGCTTCCTCAGGAATGACTGTCAGGGGCCTCCTCCTCCCAAAGCCGGAGCAAGGGGAGATGAGTTTAGCTGCAGAGGGAGGGACCGACATTAGGCAGAAGGAAGACCTTCTTTGTAGCATATATATATAGGAGGGGGTTGGCCTGAGAGAGTCTGTGGTCTCAGGGATATTTGGACAGAGGTGCGGCTCTCTGCTGCTTCCAGTCTCCTCCTCCCCACCCATTCCTCTCCCTGCTGTTTTCAGGAGAGCATGGATGAGGTGTTGCTGGGGCAGGGGTAAGGAGGGAGGAGGGGGTCTCCTTTACTGGCTCCTTTTGGAGACTACAGATAGAGGCAGGAGCTAGAAGGAGAAGGGGACATTGTGCTCAGCACCTTCCTCTATAATCTTCCAGCCAAGTTTGGGGCCAATGCCATCCTGGGTGTGTCTCTGGCCGTGTGTAAGGCAGGGGCAGCTGAGCGGGAACTGCCCCTGTATCGCCACATTGCTCAGCTGGCCGGGAACTCAGACCTCATCCTGCCTGTGCCGGTGAGCGCTGAGCCGTGCCTGTGACTCTCCCAGGGGTGGGTGGGGGAGGGGGCATGCAACTCATGAGGAATGATGGGAGGAAAGTGAATTGGGGGAGGTAAAGAGGAAGGATGGGGACGTGAGATTTAGTCCGGGAAGCTGGGGGAAGTTTGGGATCTTGAGTTAAGACTCCTGGGGCAGGCAGGGAGGGGCTCTTTGACCCTTCTGTCTTTCTGCGGCTTCCCAGGCCTTCAACGTGATCAATGGTGGCTCTCATGCTGGAAACAAGCTGGCCATGCAGGAGTTCATGATCCTCCCAGTGGGAGCTGAGAGCTTTCGGGATGCCATGCGACTGGGTGCAGAGGTCTACCATACACTCAAGGGAGTCATCAAGGACAAATATGGCAAGGATGCCACTAATGTGGGGGATGAAGGTGGCTTTGCCCCCAATATCCTCGAGAACAGTGAAGGTGAGGCCAAGAGCCCCACTGCCAGCTCTAAGTCTTACCCTACTGCAGGACATCAGAAAGGGCCACACACTTCACCAAGTCCTGAGTAGGTGTGGAGGGTCCTCGGACTCTGCAAACTCCAAAAGTTACCAGTTCTTAGAGTGGATTGCAGGGGGCTTCCCAAATTCACATGCAGACCTAGGGGACCAGTCTTTCATCTGTCTAGCCGGATGTGTTAGCATCTGTTAAGTTGTCACTGGAGGGCCGGGCGCGGTGGCTCATGCCTGTAATCCCAGCACTTTGGGAGGCTGAGGTGTGTGGATCACTTGAGGAGTGAGACCAGGAGTTTGAGACCAGCCTGGCCAACATGGTGAAACCCTGTCTCTACTAAAAATACAAAAATTAGCCGGGCATGGTGGCGCGTGCCTGTAATCACAGCTACTAGTGGGGCTGAAGCAGGAGGATGGCTTGTACCTGGGAGGCGGAGGTTGTGGTGAGCCGAGATTGTGCCACTACACTCCAGCCTGGGTAACAGAGCGAGACTCCGTCTCAAAAAAAAAAAAAAAAAAAAAAAAAGTTGTCACTGGAGCCCTTGGGAATACTGGGAGATGGTCTGGGTGACCTGTTGGATTCATCCCATCCGTTCGAAATCTGTCCTATCCCCATTCCAACCTCCTAGGCCTCTAGAATCCCTAATTTTTCTGTGCCTTGGGAGAAACTGTATAGGGAATGGAAACAATGTAGGTAGTAGTTAAAAGTTAAGATTCTGGGGCCAAATTACCTGGATGTATTTGAACCCTGACTTGTGAAGTTACTGCGGGTGATCTTTCTTACTTCTCTCTGGAAATAATAACAGAATCTAGCTCATAGTAGTGTGAGGTTTAAACGAAATATATATGAAATGCTTAGGCGACATGCTGCCAATGAAAAGATAATAAGTATTATTAGCAGAATTCCACTCCTCTGTGTTCCCAGATGTCCTCTCCTCCCAGTCCTGGGGATAACCCCAATAGCAACCCCACCACACTTCCCTCAGGAACGGTCCTCCACCTCTGCCCTGAATGTCTTTTCTTTCCCTCCTCCTCGCGCATCCCTCTTGCTTGTACTATAATCTCACTGTATTCTGTCCCCAGCCTTGGAGCTGGTGAAGGAAGCCATCGACAAGGCTGGCTATACGGAAAAGATCGTCATTGGCATGGATGTTGCTGCCTCAGAGTTCCATCGTGATGGCAAATACGACTTGGACTTCAAGTCTCCCGCTGATCCTTCCCGATACATCACTGGGGACCAGCTGGGGACACTCTACCAGGACTTTGTCAGGGACTATCCTGGTGAGAGGAAGCAGTGTGAGGGGGAGGTCTGGGGGCAGGCAGTGTCCCAGCAACTCTGGACCTTATGGGGTGCTGACTCAGGCACCAGGTAGAGGTGTCCTAAGAAGAACCTGAGAACCAGGGAGAGGGTGCAGGAGCCACCTGCAAAGACTGGGCTTTGTATGTAGTGTAAAAGTGCAGGTACCCGAGACTAATCTGTTCTATCTGCCTCAGATCCTGATTAAAGTCATGGGTTCTGAAAATTACTGGGGTCAGGGGGAAGGCTCTGGAAGGAACCAGGGATGGTGAGAGGGTGACTGGATCTAGCAGAGAACTAGAATATTTCGGTATCTTTGATTGATGAAATTGTGGATGCTGAATGGAGCTGGGACTGATGTGTGAGTAGAAAGAAGGCTGAGGGGGACTGAATTAGCTTCTGCAAGTCTGCCCAGGGCCTTTACCCCAGGAAGGAGGCAGTTGGTCTCCATCTTCCTGAAACAGAGCGAAAGAAAATAAACATAATTGCAGAATTAAGGATTTGGATTAGCAATGAGGAAGGGCTTCCTGGGGGTGAGAACAGGAAAATGCAAAGTTAGGTTGTGAACCCTTGTTACTGGAAGATTTTTTTGTTTTTTGGATTTTTGTTTTTGTTGTTTGTTTGTTTCTTGTTTTTTGTTTTTTTGAGACGGGGTTTCACTCTTCTTGCCCAGACTGGAGTGCAATGGCGCCATCTCGGCTCACCACAACCTCCACCTCCTGGATTCAAGCGATTCTTCTGCCTCAGCCTCCCGAATAGCTGGGATTACAGGCATGTGCCACCATGCCTGGCTAATTTTGTATTTTTAGTAGAGACAGAGGTCTCTCCATGTTGGTCAGGCTGGTCTCCAACTCCCAACTCAGGTGATCTGCCTGCCTTGGCCTCCCAAAGTGCTGGGATTATAGGCGTGAGCCACCACACCCGGCAGGTTTGCTTTTAATTAATTTTTTTTTTTTTTTTGTAGAGACAGGGTTTAGCCATGGTGCTCATGGCTGGTCTCGACCTCCTGGGCTCAAGTGATCCACATGCCTTGGCCTCCCAAAGTGCTAGGATAACAGGCATGAGCCACTGTGCCCAGCCCATGGAAGTGGAGTGAGATCTCTGCTCACTGCATGATTCTCTTAGCCTCCCAAGTAGCTGGGATTACAGGTGCGCACCACCATGCCTGGCTAATTTTTGTATGATTAGTAAAGATGTGGTTTCGCCATCTTTGCCAGGTGGGTTTCAAACTCCTAACCTCAGGTGATCCACTTGCTTTGGCCTTCCAAAGTGCTGGGATTACAGGCGTGAGTCAGTGCACCTGGCCTGTTTTTTTTTTGTTTGGTTGTTTTGTTTTGTTTTGTTTTTGAGATGGAGTCTCGCTCTGTCGCCCATGCTGGAGTGCAGTGGCGTGATCTCCACTCACTGCAAGTTCCACCTCCCGGGTTCATGCCATTCTCCTGCCTCAGCCTCCTGTGTAGCTGGGACTACAGGGGCCCGCCACCGCGACCGGCTAATTTTTTTTTGTATTTTTAGTAGAGATGGAGTTTCACCGTGTTAGCCAGGATGGTCTCGATCTCCTGACCTCGTGATCCGCCCGTCTCGGCCTCCCAAAGTGCTGGGATTACAGGCTTGAGCCACTGTGCCCGGCTGTCTTTTTTTTTAAGACAGAGTCTTGCTCTGTCGCCCAGGCTGGCATGCAGGGGTGCGATCTCTGCCTCCCAGGTTCAAGTGATTCTCATGCCTCAGCCTCCCCAGTAGCTGGGATTACAGGCATGTGCCACTATGCTCGGCTAATTTTTGTATTTTTAGTAGAGACGGAGTTTCACTCTGTTGGTCAGGGAACTCCTGTCTTCAAATGATACGTTCACCTCAGTATCCCAAAGTGCTGGGATTACAGGCATAAGCCACTGTGCCTGGCCTCTCCCTGTAAGGTTTTATGAAATAAGAATCAGGAGCCAGGCATGGTGGCTCATGCCTGTAATCTCATCACTTTGGGAAGCCGAGGCAGAAGGATCGCTTGAGTCCAGGAGTTCGAGACCGGCTTGGCAATACAGTGAGACCTCATCTCTACAAAAATTTTAAAAATTAGCTGAGTGTGGTGCCACATGCCTATAGTCCCTGCTACTCAGGAGGCTGAGGTGGCAGGATCACTTGATTTGGGGAGGTGGAGGTTGCAGTGAGCTGATATTGTGTCACTGCACTCCAGCCTGGATGACAGAGTGAGACTCTGTCTCAAAAAAAAAAAAAGGTTAAGAATCAGGGCAGGCTTACACTGGGGGGATTTGTCTTAGCAAGGATGAACAGGTATAGTTAACCAAGGGCCTGTCCATTTCAGGGAATAAAGGGGCATGTTCCTGCCTGATGTAGAGGCCCAGGGAAGATGAACAGCCCCCACCCCCCATGCTCTCTCTGCAGTGGTCTCCATTGAGGACCCATTTGACCAGGATGACTGGGCTGCCTGGTCCAAGTTCACAGCCAATGTAGGGATCCAGATTGTGGGTGATGACCTGACAGTGACCAACCCAAAGCGTATTGAGCGGGCAGTGGAAGAAAAGGCCTGCAATTGTCTGCTGCTCAAGGTCAACCAGATCGGCTCGGTCACCGAAGCCATCCAAGCGTGAGTGACTTCGGGCCCTCCCCTGTGTGGTCCTCGTTTCTATAAGACTCCTCCTGCAAGTGCTCCAGCCTCATTCTACCCAGGGATGCCAAAGAGAGCAGGGAACCTGGAATCATCATCACAGTTCTCTCACCTCTGCCCCTCCACCCCTGATTCTCTGCTCCCCTCCCAGATAGCTTTCCCCTAGATGTTTCCTGATATAGACCAAGGTCGGGGCTGGGAAGAGAGTGCCCAGTGTGAGGGCTGGAGAAGCAGTGCTGTGTGTGGATACAGGTGCAAGCTGGCCCAGGAGAATGGCTGGGGGGTCATGGTGAGTCATCGCTCAGGAGAGACGGAGGACACATTCATTGCTGACCTGGTGGTGGGGCTGTGCACAGGCCAGGTGAGTGAGGCAGCCTGGTGAGTGAAGATAACTCTCTGTGGGACTGGTATTTCTAGCTCACCCACCTGGTCTCTCCTTCCAGGTGTTTGAGGGTGTCAGGGGAGTTTCAGGAGAGCAGAAGTTTCTTTTCAGGGGTGAGAGGGCAGCCACTGAGCTGCAAATCCTTTGAAATGTTTCAGATCAAGACTGGTGCCCCGTGCCGTTCTGAACGTCTGGCTAAGTACAACCAGCTCATGAGGTGAGGGTCCCTGGGGTGGGAGCCCCTGGCCCAGAGGGCTAAAGGCCCCATTTGCCTGCCGGACAATCTCTAGCACCCAGGGCCTGGATGACAGTCCATTTCCAGATAATATTGGTTTTTGCTTCCTGGGTTTATTGATGGCCTGATTGACAGATCCCAGAGATCACATGGGAAAGCCAGGGAATGCTCAGCCTTGGGGCAGGACACAAAAGCAGGTGGTGTGGGGGTGGTTGGAGTCTGGGGGACCCCCTAGAGAGAGAAGCAGGATCCTTCTGCATCCCTGACCACTTCCTTTGTGGTTCATGTCTCTCAGAATTGAGGAAGAGCTGGGGGATGAAGCTCGATTTGCCGGACATAACTTCCGTAATCCCAGTGTGCTGTGATTCCTTTGCTTGCCTGGAGACGTGGAACCTCTGTCTCATCCTCCTGGAACCTTGCTGTCCTGATCTGTGATAGTTCACCCTGTGAGATCCCCTGAGTCCCAGGGTTTCCAGAACTTCCCTGATTGACCTGCTCCGGCTGCTCCTTGGCTTACCTGACCTCTGCTGTCTCTGCTCACCCTCCTTTCTGGGCCCTACTCATTGGGGTTCTGCACTTTCCACTTCTTCCTTTCTCTCTCTTCCCTCAAAAACTAGAAATGTGAATGAGGATTATTATAAAAGGGGGTCTGTGGAAGAATGATCAGCATCTGTGATGGGAGTGTCAGGGTTGGTGTGCTGAGGTGTTAGAGAGGGACCATGTGTCACTTGTGCTTTGCTCTTGTCCCATGTGTTTTCCACTTTGCATATGAGCCATGAACTGTGCATAGTGCTGGGGTGGAGGGGAGTGCTGGGCGTGTGATCATGCCTGGCTAATAAGGCTTTAGTGTATTTATTTATTTATTTATTTATTTATTTATTTTATTTGCTTTTCATTCATCCCATTAATCATTTCCCCATAACTCAATGGCCTAAAACTGGCCTGACTTGAGGGAACGATGTGTCTGTATTTCATGTGGCTGTAGATCCCAAGATGACTGGGTCTTGCTAGAATGGGAAGGGTCATAAAAAGGGCCTTGACATCAGTTCCTTTGTGTGTACTCACTGAAGCCTGCGTTGGTCCAGAGCGGAGGCTGTGTGCCTGGGGGAGTTTTCCTCTGTACATCTCTCCCCAACCCTAGGTTCCCTGTTCTTCCTCCAGCTGCACCAGAGCAACCTCTCACTCCCCATGCCACGTTCCACGGTTGCCAGCACCTCTGTGGCACTGAAATGAGCACCACCATTAAAGTCTGAATCAGTGTACTGTTGTGTCTGAGGAGTCTTACTCTAGTCCATATGAGGGGAGAGAAGATGGAGCACCTGGAAGCTGGTGAAACTGGACAGCAGAACTGGGGAGGGCACAAAAAGAGGAAGACAGACTGAACAAATATGGCCAAGATGATGGCACTGCCTACCCCATTCTGGCTAGGTGGGGTGCATGTGGCCCCTGCTTTCTTAGCAGCAGGCTTGGCTCCCAGACCCGGGTGAATTAAGGGGTTCAAGAGCCCCTAAAAGCATAAAATATTGTGTGTGTATGTGTATTTTGGGAGAAAGGGGTCTAAGGTGTTTTCATATCCAAAGGGCTTGTGAACTGGAGCAGCTCCTGTACTGGACCTCTGCCAACAAAAGCCTGGCTGGTTCTCGAATGGAACAGGACTTCCTGGCCATTACTCACTGCAAGATGGGGAAATGGGAAGGAAGAATGGTTCTGGGGGTAGTAGAGAGAAGGACCTGAGGAAACAGAGTCCTCCAATAAACTGAAAATTCAGGGACGAAAGTGCTTAACAGACCCCTGGCTGGGTCAGACTAATAGTAGGGTTCCAATATGTGGCTAGAGACATATGACTCCTTAGCTATAACTCGTTAACTCTTACGGGGCCTCAGCGTTGAGATGCTCATTCTAGGTACCACCGAGGGGGACAAATCCCTTCCTCGTGGCTTGGATGCAACCTTGCGTCCCACAGATAGGGTCTGCACATGGGAGATCTAACCACTAGAGGGAGTTAGAGTTCTGCAGGACGCCATACTGGAGGCCAAGTGGGAGGAACTTCAAGCTGTCCCCTGTGGGCCTCCCACTCTGCTTCTGCTAAGGTCCGGTCCTGGCTCCCTCTGCCATCCTGCTCAGCTCCAGGGCTAAAATAGGATTCTAGTTTTGTATAGGCATGGCCCATTTCTTTTCTTGCCCTCCTTCCTGGGTCCCTGACACCTCAGCCATTTTCAATTCAAAGAGCTTCATGCCCCCTTTCCATTTCTGTGCCTTTTAATTTCAGTGTGGGGATCTCATCTTTCCCTTTTCTCCTGTCTCCTGGCGACCCTTTATGCCTCCCTTGGGGTTTCCTGTACTTTTCTCTGTGCCTCTCAGTTTTCTCTGGGGTCCCTGATACCTATCTTACCTTAGTAACTCCCAGACTGACCAGGACTATTCTAGTTTGAGCCTAGTTCCTAGCCTCTGTCCTTTCTTTCATCCCTCCTCACCAGGTCGCCTTCTCTGACAGTCTGGCCCCCCCATCCCCAAAGTACTGGGGTTGGATTGGGTTACAGCTAGCTCTGCCTGGGCCTTCCAGGCCCTTCTCTCCACTTTCCCTTTGTGCCGTTGCCTGGAGACCAATGGGTTGTGGGGGGCTGAGCCAGAGAGGGAGCTGGGGTGAGGGATGGCGGGGGCTGTGCGCGGGGGCGCGCGCGCGCTCGTGTGTGTGTGTGTGTGTGTGTGTGTGTGTGTGAGAGAGAGAGAGAGATGTCCCCTGCAGCTGGACTATAAGCCTCAGGTAGGGGAGGAATGGGAGAGGGTAGACACTGGTTTCTTTTGTGACTCTCACCATCCCCTATCCCCACATATGCCTAAATTTTTCTTTTAGTCTCCATTGTAGCCCGTTCCTTAGTGATTTAAAAACACGGGAGAAGAGCTCAGCCTGGAAGGGATTTGGAAGGGGCTTGAGCCAAGGCCCAGTGGGAGTCTGAACTGAGTGGTGCAGAAAGAGAGGAAATGCAATGGGGAGAGAGGGCGAGGGGGAAAGGGGGAGCCCTGGAACAAAGCTGGGGGTGGGGAGGAGCAGGAGCTACCCTAGAGCAAGAGGGAGTGGGGCGCACCGGGAGACAGGGAGCTGGCCTGGTCTCAGGGAGGCCCTGGGAGGGGCTGGGAAGGTGTGCATGGAGTGGTGAGTGCCAACCAATTCAAGGGACTTCAGAGTGATGACTCATTCCCAGGCCAAGGAAGTGTTCCTGTTCCTGCGCCCAGTTCCCCAGTGCTCTGGAATCTTGCTTAGAGCTTTTGAGTATTCCCAGAACTTTGTTGAATCTGGCCCAAGGAATTGTGAGACAAAATCTACTGAGCTGCTCCAGAGCCAACCTCCTTCCTTCCCTGAAGGCAGGTGGGATCTTGTCAGTTCAGGGACCACCCTTCGCCTCCAGCAAGACTGGTCCCACAAGTACCCGGCCCCCACCCCAAATATGGAGCGCTACTGAGGGCTCCCAATCCACACTCCAGCTCCAGGTCTTCCGGTTTGCCAGCCTGCCTCCCTCCCATTCTCTGGCCTTCCCAATTTCTGCTGCCAAAAATCACCCTGTGTCCTTTGTCCTGAGAGATGTTGCTGCTTGGTGGAGGGCCAGGAGGGAGCCCAGGAGAAGGAACTGGTGGTGGGCTAGCCGAGGTGCTGGCTTCATGGCCGGTGGCAGACTGACTGCCAGAGGCTACCTGGAGAGCAGGGGAGGGAGAGGGAAGGGTTGGGAGGAGCCTGCAGTCTGTGGTGGGGACTGTCTACACCTTAGAACAGGTGGGATTGAGGAACAAGGATACCTAGGGATTTGGGTCCACATTAAGCCCAATCTTCACCCGACTGCTTCCCTGTGACCCAGGGGATCTTCAGTGATGACTTTCAACAGATTTGAGAAGGAAAATGGAGATGTCACTAGATGGAAGGCCTGAGGATGGTGTCTCACTCCTCCAAGCTGTATCCCTTACCTATCTACCCATGGGCTTGCCAGCAACCCCCCCACCCCACCAAATCTGTCATTTCCTTTAACTGCCCTCCTTTCCCATCTCCATTTTCTTTTTCTTTGTTTTTCTTTTTTTTTTTTTTTGAGACGGAGTCTCGCTCTGTCGCCCAGGCTGGACTGCAGTGGTGCGATCTCTGCTCGCTGAAACCTTTGCCTCCTAGGTTCAAGGATTCTCCTGCCTCAGCCTCCCGAGTAGCTGGGATTACAGGCATGCGCCACCACACCCGGCTAATTTTTGTATTTTTAGTAGAGACGGGATTTCGCCATGTTGGCCAGGCTAGTCTTGAACTCCTGACAAGTGACCCACCCGCCTCAGCCTCCCAAAGTGCTGAGATTACAGGCGTGAGCCCCCGCGCAGGCCCCATCTCCATTTTATTTTCCCATCCATGATCTTTCCTCTTCCATACTGCCGCCAAAGGCCTTGTTCAGCTTACATTTCCTTCCAATCTTCTTATCCCCCTCTTCCCCGTTCTGCTTGCCCAAGTAAATCCTCCTGGGCTCCACTGGGAGCCCCCACCCCCAGGATCCAGCCAGCCCCGTGTCTCCCACCCTCCTTTCCCATCCAGAGCCCTCCTTTCTCACCCAGAACCCATTTTCTCTAGAATTGGCACCTGGGTCCACCTCCTTCATCCCTTCTTAAGGTTCTTCACGTTCCCTCCTCTCTCCTCACTGACGTTTCCTCTGGACTTCTCTCTCCAGCTCTCCTTCACCCCCCCACCCCCAATTATTATATTTCTGACTCTTTTCCCAACACGAATCACCCCCAAAAGCTTTGCTGTCTTCCAGAAGCCCCATCTTCTTATATATGTCATAATTTCAATTTTTCTCCCTCCTTATGACCCCAAACTTCCATCCCATTCTCTCTGATAATAGACCCCAAACCCATCTGGCTCCATCTCTGCCACAGACCCCTCACCCCAAGCTTCTCTCACTTCTCACCAGGCACCCACAAAGCCCCCAGGCAGCTCCATCTTTCCAGTCCAATCCCATTATCCCAATCTCTACCCCAGGATCCCCCAAACTCCTCCCACTTCACCTCCGCCACAGACCCGGTCGCCCCCAAACTTCAGCCTCCCCTCATCTGCCCTCACCACTCACAGCCCCTCCTACCTAGCCCTCTCCCGCGCCGGGCCCGCGGGCTCCCCACATTCCGCCACCGCGAGCCCTCCCCGCGCCCCGGCCCCCTCGGCCTCGGCCTCGGCCAACTCGCGCGGCGCCTCCCCCTCTCCGGCTCCCCCTCTCTCCCCCCTCGCGGCTTGCCTCGCGCTCCCTCCCTCGCGTCTCCCTCCTGGCCCCTCTCTCCTCCGTTCCTCCGCGCTCCCTCCTTCTCCCTCTTCCTCCCTTCTCCCATCCCCCTCTCCCAGGCTCCCTCCCTTCGCCGTCCGCTTTCCTGTGCGAGTCGCTGGACGCACCGCCCAGCCCGTCCGCAGCCCCGTGCCGGGTCGGGGCCTCGGGCCGGGCCATTTCGGAGGGACCGCGGCCTCGGGGAGGGGCTAGGAGGGGGCGAGGGAGCCGGCCGCCGGGGAAGGGGCGGGGGCCGTGGGCGAGGCGGCCGAGGGGCCCGGGATCGCGCGGGTGCGGGCTGCGCTAGGCGGGCGCGGGCGGCGGGTCGGAGCCGCGCCGAGGGCCGGGCGGGCCGCGGGGCCGGGCGGCGCGGCGGGGGCGGGCGGCGCGGCCCGGGGCATTCCGGGCGGCCAGAGGGAGGCGGCGAGCCCGGGGAGGTGGGGAGCAGAGCGGGGATCGGGGTTTGCTCCGGGGGCCGGCGGGCGATTGGGGCCAGGCGGGGAAAAGGGGGGATGGGGGCCGCCCTCCGGGGGGGTCGGGGCCGCCGCCGCCGTCGTCGCGGCGGCGACTGAGGCCGAGAAGAGGAGAGGGGGGCGGGGGAGCTGCCGCCGCCGCCCCCCAGAGGCGCCGGAGCCCGGAATCCCGCTCGCAGCCAGCCAGCCGTCCCGAGCTACCAGCAGGTAAGGTCTGCGGCCGCCTGGGCCCCGGGCCCGCGGGATTCTGTCCCGCCCGGGTTCCGGCCTGCGGCTCCCCACCCCCACCCCTCCCAGTTCCCCCTCCTGCCGCCGCCGCCTCCATTTGTTATTTTCCCAATCCCGTCCCCCCACTGCGGGCTTTGCCTGGCCTGAGGCCGGGGGCTCAGGGGGTGGGGCCCGCCGAGGAGGGTCGGGGGCCAGGGCTTCGGGAGGATCGGGAAGGTGGGGAAGGAGGGAGGGTCTCCGGAGGAAGGCTGTGGGGCCAGAGGGTAGCCGGGACCCGCGGACCCAAAAGAGGAGGAACATCGAGGCGGGGGTTGGCGGAGGAAAACGGGGGATGCTCTGAGTGGGGTTCGGGGCGAAGGCAGAAGGGATAGGAGAGATGGCAGCGAGGTGGGGCATGAAGGCTCCAGGAAAAAGCTCCAAAGGCCCAGAACACGGGTTCCGGAGCCTGGGGTTGGGGGCGTTAGGAATGGACGGGAAGTGGGAAACGGGAAAGGGGTGTGGTAGGTGGAAAGAGGGACTGTGGCTGATGAACCTCGGGGAAACGGAGGCTTGGGCAAAAAGAGGTCCATCTTTGAGAAGAGCCGGAGGTTTTCCAGCGTGGAAGTGGGAAGGCCATGTCTTTGTGACGGTTTTCATTCCCCTACTCCAGGTCACCTCTGACCCTGTTTTCCCCATCCCAGACATAGTTACTTCTTGGAGAGGACACTGGGGCCCAGTAGTGTGGGTTATCCCAAAACTAATGAGGAGGAAAACAGGAACACAGAAGGGGGAGTTGGGAAGAAAGGGGTTCTGGGAGGATGGAAATGAGATAATTGAGCAACCTTACAGGCACTCCAAGCAAGTTGCGACCTCCACCCTCCACCCTCCAATTTCCGGAGCGTCCGCTGCCCCTGGGGCTGTGATCTATATAGGGAGGCCTTAGTTACTGCTTTGAGCTCAAAGATCTCCCTTTGTGCATGGGCTTATTTCGACTAGGGTAGGTACCTTTAAGCTCCCTTCCCTGAGGTGCTATAGGAGAGTAGGAGTTGCTTTGGCAACTGGGAGGGGGCAGGGGTGGCTTCCAGATGGACTCCTGGGATGGTCTCTTGGGGGCACCTTTTGCCACTGTGTCGCTATGGTAGTGATCCAGTGGGATGTCCAATTGGTAGGCGGGGGGCTTCGAATCTTCATTGGACGTCGGCCTGCGGCTATGTCCTTGGGACTCTGGGCTGGGTTCTGGAGGATGTTTCTGGATCTGTTGGTGGATGGGAGTTTCCCCACGGCGGCGTGTACCCTTTCATGTTGCAGTCTGTTTGAACAGGTAGATATGTTCCTTGCAGATCATAGGTGTTTCTCCAAATCTCTCCACCTAGGCATGATGGGAGGATGAAAATGCTCCTGTTCAGATTTCACCATCTTTTGGCAGTTGGTTCTGACCTCTACCTCCCTTATTATGTTATTTTTTGTAGAGTTGTTTTTTTTGCTTCTTTGCACTTTCTTTCATTTTCTAAAACGAATTCCTCTTTGAGCCTCCCTTCTTGAATAACTTACCCTTTTCCTCCTTCCCTCAACTAACCTTTGGCCTTCTTCCCTGACCTTGTAGAAATGGCTGGGCTCCCAGGCCCATCCCAGGTGAGGGTGGCCCAGGACAGAGGGCTGCATGAAGCAGCCTCATGCAGGGGAAATACTATAGAATAGGAGCCAGGAGACCTGTGTCTCTCGACCTGGCTGTGCCTCTGTGACCTTGGGCAAGTCACTTCTCTTGGAGTGTCCGACTTCATTGTTAAGATGAAGGGGCCATAGATGAGATGATCTCTGAGACCTCCCTGAAGGTCCTGGATTCTCAGAAGGCTTAGGCCAGTGCATTGTTATCCGCTGGTCTGGGCTGCATTGTTATCTAGGAGTCACTTTGGACTGGTTAGTCTGGCAGGTCCAGAATGATGTTGGGGGCTGGGCCAATGATCCTGAAATTTAGCCTGTGAGCCCCTCCCAGGGAGCTTGTGACTCCACTGTATTCCTTCTGACATCCCATATGTCTCTTAATTTCTTTTCCTGGTCTTACTTAGGGGCTCTTTTTCTATTTCTCACTTTCCTCCCAACCCAGTCTGGTCTTAATCATTTTTTTAAAGTAAGGTAACGAAGGTGAATGTGCTTAGTGTGTGGCCAGATACAGAGTAGGTGCTCTGTAATATTAGTTACAATTATTGTCTGCTAGGAGTGTAGGCTGGTGCTAAAACATGACCCAGGTCTAGAAACACACACAATCCAACCCTAACTCCTTCCCTCCTCTGCCACTCCTTATCCCCAGGATTACTTGTTCTTTTATGACTGCTTTTCTCCTTCAAAGCTACTCATTGCTAGTTTTATCAGATTTCAGGTGATTAAAAAAGAAGGGCATACTATGATTGCTGTGTTCCTCAGGTACATTCCTGTGTTTCTCTGACCTTTTGAATCCCCTAACCTAACTGACTTGGTGAACAGGTTCTGTGATGGGGAAGGGAGATGGACACCCTTCTCTAGGAGGGCTGGCAAAGATACACGTCACAAATAGTCATCTTTGTTGTGCTTTTTGTTTAAGATTCCTCTTTTGCTATGGTGGGTGTTGTTCTTTGGATTTTTTTTTTCTTTCTTTTCTTTTTTTTTTTTTTGGTTGATAGTATTTTAAAACCAGTCTACACAACAACTAAAAAATGTGGGAAAATAGCTGTAGTTGAAAAAAAAAAAAAATAATAAAGGCCAGGCGCGGTGGCTCATGCCTGTAATCCCAGCACTTTAGGAGGCCGAGGCGGGTGGATCACCTGAGGTCAGGAGTTCGAGACCAGCCTGGCCAACATAGTGAAACCCTGTCTCTACTAAAAATACAAAAATTAGCCAGGCATGGTGGTGGGCGCTTGTAATCCCAGCTACTTGGGAAGCTGAGGCAGGAGAATCACTTGAATCTGGGAGGCGGAGGTAGCAGTGAGCTGAGATCATGCCATTGCACTCCAGCCTGGGGAAGAACAGCGAAAATCTACTTAAAAAAAAAAACAACAACTAGTTGGCCGGGCACAGTGGCTCACGCCTGTAATCTCAGCACGTTGGAAGGCCATGGCAGACAGATCACCTGAGGTCAGGAGTTCGAGACTACTCTGACCAACATGGTGAAACCCTGTCTCTACTAAAAGTACAAAAAAATTAGCAGGGTGTGGTGGCACAGCCTGTAATCCCAGCTACTTAGGAGGCTGAGGCAGGAGAACTGCTTGAACCCAGGAGGTGGAGGTTGCAGTGAGTGAGATCACGCCACTCCATTCCAGCCTGGGCAACAAGAAACTCTGTCTCAAAAAAAAAAAAAAAAAAAAAAAAGACTAGTCTACTGGGCAGAACATCAGTTGAAAGTTCAGAAGACAGGCTCTGTCCCAGCAATTTTGTGATTCTAAGTAAATTGTGAAGTTTCCTGGAAAGGTTAAACTCACCCCTTACTGCCTGCATCAGTATGGTTCCATGGAGCTGAGTGAGAATTACTGTGTTCCTTGGGAAAAATACACTACAGAATATGGACATGCCGTTTACCTAGTAGGCCACCAACTCAGAATAGAATAGACGGGTAAGCTTAGTCTATTCCCACTGGAGCTGGCAGCACTTAATTCAGGAATAAAGACCTACTGAAGTTAGTGGGTTTAAAGGTCAATCACAAGAAAAGTGCACACACGTATATATACGACATCAGTGGAAAGGAAGAAAAAATAAGAAAATACCATTTTTGCTCTCAGAAGATCTTACAATCAGTAATTTGGAGGGACTTGACACTTAGCAAGAAATACGAACAAGCGCAAATGAATATAGCTGGCTATAGGGATTTGGATAAAGATAGATACCTGCCTACTTACTGATAGGCAGATATGGATGGACTGGCTTGAGGAGCTGTGTAACCCTGTCTATACCAAGTAGGAGGACAGGCTTCAAAATTGGTAAATCTGTATTGTTTGCTCACGGATATTTTGAGTCTTTAATCATTCATGTGAAAACCCTGACTTTTCCTCTAGCCTTAGGGAGCTCAAGTACTAGAGAATGAGTCCTTTATGAGGCTCTCAAAAGTGAAGTTCTACAATTTGGGGCTACCTAGGTTTAGTCTTGGGATTGGTAGGGCTGTGTTCCTTTGTATTATAGAATGGGACATTCTTCTTCTACCTACTCTGATGTGAGAAAAGATTCTTTTCATATCTCTGTGACTGATCTAGGCCTTCTGAGAATTCTCCCCACCAACTTCTGAGGAGAATATAGCAAAGTATAGAAGAAAGAGCATGGGCTTTGAAGTCACAGACGTGGGTTTGATTCTGGCTCTGTCACTGGTTCCTCACTGTGTGAGGTTGAGCTAGTCACAATCACCATCTTTGAGCCTCAGTTCCCTCACCTATATAATGAAGGTAATAATGCTTACCATTCAGGGTTGGTTGTAAATATTAAATGAAATCATGTGTGTGAAGGGCTTGATATAAAGAAGGTACTCAATAAATTAATACTTGAACGTCATTTTTTTTTTGAGACAGAGTTTCACTCTGTCACCCAGGCTGGAGTGCAGTGGCATGATCTCGGCTCACTGCAACCTCTGCTTCCCAGGTTCAAGTGATTTGCTTGCCTCAGCCTCCTGAGTAGCTGGGATTACAGGCACGCGCCACCACGCCTGGCTGGGTTTCACCATGTTGGCCAGGCTGGTCTTGAACTCCTGACCTTGCGATCCGTCCACCTCGGCCTCCCAAAGGGCTGGGATTATAGGCGTGAACCACCATGCCCCGCTCCATTTCTTTATGTTCCTTTGCAAGGCTCCGTGGAATGTGTGCGTTCACAAATATCCTTTAGGGATCATGAAGGGTCAAACTGTGTGATCTCCTGGATTGGAGCTTGTAGGTACATCTGAATTTTCTGCCCTCTACAGAGGTGAAAGAGATTATACTTTAAGCAGAATCTCCCTGCCTTTTAGATAGCTAAGGTGGCCCATGGGGCAAGCCAGCAATGTCTTGTGGTATCTGTACCTCTTGGCCTAAAGGCTTAGGGTTGGGCCGCTTGCTCAGTTCTCTGACAAGCGTAATAGTATTCCTTTGTGACTCTATTCTCCCAGTGGGAGACTCTGATGGTTTCCTTCTAACAGGTTTCACTGAAAACAGATCCTGCAAAAGTTCCAGGTGCCTATACTGGAAACTTGGAGATCCTGCTTCCCAGACCACAGCTGTGGGGAACTTGGGGTGGAGCAGAGAAGTTTCTGTATTCAGCTGCCCAGGCAGAGGAGAATGGGGTCTCCACAGCCTGAAGAATGAAGACACGACAGAATAAAGACTCGGTGAGTTAAAATGAGAGATGTGAAAGATGAGGGGCGGGGCAGGCAAGCTAGGAGGAAGGGTCTAGAGAAGAACAAATAATGTGCACCATAAAGTTAGCTGCAGTGTAAAGAACAGTGTTACCTACCTCCTTCCTCCTCCTGCAGATGTCAATGAGGAGTGGACGGAAGAAAGAGGCCCCTGGGCCCCGGGAAGAACTGAGATCGAGGGGCCGGGCCTCCCCTGGAGGGGTCAGCACGTCCAGCAGTGATGGCAAAGCTGAGAAGTCCAGGCAGACAGCCAAGGTATTCTGTCCTCAGGTCCTCCCACAGGATGCCCAGGCACTGGGGCTGAGGGGGTGTGTGTGTTGTCGGGGGAACTTCCTGTTTGGCAGAGGGTAACGGTGAAGCTTGGGAGGTAGGGAAAAGACAGGAATTTTCTTTCTCTCTAACAGAAGGCCAGAGTAGAGGAAGCCTCCACCCCAAAGGTCAACAAGCAGGGTCGGAGTGAGGAGATCTCAGAGAGTGAAAGTGAGGAGACCAATGCACCAAAAAAGACCAAAACTGAGGTGGGAGACCCTTGTCGCCATCCTGACCCATCTTGTGATCATTCTTTTCTCAGATTTCCTTATGCTCACTATTCTTAGCTGGATCTCTCCTGGGACATAAGAGAAAGGCCAGATCATAGTGCTTATGAGAGCAGTTGTCTCTAATATGCCAGAGAGTGTCTTAGAACTTTGACAGACCACCAGATGACCTGGCAGGGCCAAAGGGGACCAGAAGAGTTGGGGGATTCTAGTCTCTGGGTGAGAAGTCTTAGTGGGAGGAACAAATAAATCTTAAGGAAAATGCAGAAGTGGTCTTTCTTTTTTATTGTTTTTTTTGGTTTGTTTTTGAGACAGAGTTTCGTTCTGTCACCCAGGCTGGAGTACAGTGGCACAATCTCAGCTCATTGCAACCTCCGCCTCCTGGGTTGAAGCAGTTGTGCCTCAGCCTCCCGAGTAGCTGGGATTATAGGCATGAGCCACCACGCCCGGCTAATTTTTGTACTTTTAGTAGAGATAGGGTTTCACCATGTTGGCCAGGCTGGTTTGGAACTCCTGGCCTCAAGTGATCCTCCTGCTTCAGCCTCCCAAAGTGCTGGGATTACAGGTGTGAGCCTCTGTGCCCGGCCAGAAGTGGTCTAAGAACCAAGGGCTTGGGGGATGGAGGATGGTCAAAGTGGTGGTTATGAGATGGTGGAAGACAGGGATTTGGAGTCAGCTGTGGGTAAAGACAAGGTGCTTGAGATGGATCCTTGAGGAAGGAATAGGGTTTTATAGGAGGGAAACAAGACTGGCTGCTAAGGAGCAGCCAAGAATGTGGGGAAAGTGGGAAATCCCCAGATGGCAAGAGGTACTCACCACATCACAGTACAACAGTGTGCTGTGAGGGGAAATGATTTTATGCAAGACAGGCCCTAAATCTCAGGGAAGCAGGAAAGGAAAAGAGAAAAAATGAGGCTTCCCTTTTCTACAGCAGGAACTCCCTCGGCCACAGTCTCCCTCTGATCTGGATAGCTTGGATGGGCGGAGCCTTAATGATGATGGCAGCAGCGACCCTAGGGATATTGACCAGGACAACCGAAGCACGTCCCCCAGCATCTACAGCCCTGGAAGTGTGGAGAATGACTCCGACTCATCTTCTGGCCTGTCCCAGGGCCCAGCCCGCCCCTACCACCCACCTCCACTCTTTCCTCCTTCCCCTCCACCGCCAGACAGCACCCCTCGACAGCCAGAGGCTAGCTTTGAACCCCATCCTTCTGTGACACCCACTGGATATCATGCTCCCATGGAGCCCCCCACATCTCGAATGTTCCAGGCTCCTCCTGGGGCCCCTCCCCCTCACCCACAGCTCTATCCTGGGGGCGCTGGTGGAGGAGTTTTGTCTGGACCCCCAATGGGTCCCAAGGGGGGAGGGGCTGCCTCATCAGTGGGGGGCCCTAATGGGGGTAAGCAGCACCCCCCACCCACTACTCCCATTTCAGTATCAAGCTCTGGGGCTAGCGGTGCTCCCCCAGCTAAGCCACCTAACACTCCGGTGGGTGGTGGGAACCTGCCTTCTGCTCCACCACCAGCCAACTTCCCCCATGTGACCCCGAACCTGCCTCCCCCACCTGCCCTGAGACCCCTCAACAATGCCTCAGCCTCTCCCCCTGGCCTGGGGGCCCAACCACTACCTGGGCATCTGCCCTCTCCCCATGCCATGGGGCAGGGTATGGGTGGACTTCCTCCTGGCCCAGAGAAGGGCCCGACTCTGGCTCCTTCACCCCACTCTCTGCCTCCTGCTTCCTCTTCTGCCCCAGCACCCCCCATGAGGTTTCCTTATTCATCCTCTAGTAGTAGCTCTGCAGCAGCCTCCTCTTCCAGTTCTTCCTCCTCTTCCTCTGCCTCCCCCTACCCAGCTTCCCAGGCATTGCCCAGTTACCCCCACTCTTTCCCTCCCCCAACAAGCCTCTCTGTCTCCAATCAGCCCCCCAAGTATACTCAGCCTTCTCTCCCATCCCAGGCTGTGTGGAGCCAGGGTCCCCCACCACCTCCTCCCTATGGCCGCCTCTTAGCCAACAGCAATGCCCATCCAGGCCCCTTCCCGCCATCTACTGGGGCCCAGTCCACTGCCCACCCACCAGCCTCAACACATCACCATCACCACCAGCAACAGCAGCAGCAGCAGCAGCAGCAGCATCACGGAAGCTCTGGGCCCCCTCCTGGAGCATTTCCCCACCCCCTGGAGGGCGGCAGCTCCCACCACGCACACCCTTATGCCATGTCTCCCTCCCTGGGGTCTCTGAGGCCCTACCCACCAGGGCCAACACACCTGCCCCCACCTCACAGCCAGGTGTCCTACAGCCAAGCAGGCCCCAATGGCCCTCCAGTCTCTTCCTCTTCCAACTCTTCCTCTTCCACTTCTCAAGCGTCCTTCCCATGTTCACACCCCTCCCCCTCCCAGGGACCTCAGGGGACGCCCTACCCTTTCCCACCGGTGCCTACGGTCACCACCTCTTCGGCTACCCTTTCCACGGTCATTGCCACCGTGGCTTCCTCGCCAGCAGGCTACAAAACGGCCTCCCCACCTGGGCCCCCACCGTACGGAAAGAGAGCCCCGTCCCCGGGGGCCTACAAGGCAGCCACCCCACCCGGATACAAGCCCGGGTCTCCTCCCAACTTCCGAACGGGGACCCCACCGGGCTATAGAGGAACCTCGCCACCTGCAGGCCCAGGGACCTTCAAGCCGGGCTCGCCCACCGTGGGACCTGGGCCCCTGCCACCTGCGGGGCCCTCAGGCCTGCCATCTCTGCCACCACCACCCGCGGCCCCTGCCTCAGGGCCGCCCCTGAGCGCCACGCAGATCAAGCAGGAGCCGGCTGAGGAGTATGAGACCCCCGAGAGCCCAGTTCCGCCAGCCCGCAGCCCCTCGCCCCCTCCCAAGGTGGTAGATGTGCCCAGCCATGCCAGTCAGTCTGCCAGGTGAGCGGCCAGGTGGGGCGGAGGTGGGCCTGGAAGGGGGACGACAAGGCGGCGACGGAGAGGGAGTAGCAGGGAGGGGCCCTGCGCTGGTGTAGTGTTTTAGAAAAGCACGCCCCTCTCCTCCGTCCATGCCTAGCGGCCAGTGAGGCCGGCAGCAGCTCAGCCTGCAGGGGTGGTTTTTAGGCGGGGGCTACAAGCACTCGCCGGGGTCGCGGCTCCGCGGGCTCCATCCGGCATCTCGCACCGGCTGAGCGCGTGCTGCTTCCACGCCTGGCAGGTTCAACAAACACCTGGATCGCGGCTTCAACTCGTGCGCGCGCAGCGACCTGTACTTCGTGCCACTGGAGGGCTCCAAACTGGCCAAGAAGCGGGCCGACCTGGTGGAGAAGGTGCGGCGCGAGGCGGAGCAGCGCGCGCGCGAAGAAAAGGAGCGGGAGCGCGAGCGGGAACGCGAGAAGGAGCGCGAGCGCGAGAAGGAGCGCGAGCTTGAACGCAGCGTGGTGAGTGCGTCACTGCCTGCGCCACCGCCTTCTTTGCCTCCTTCTCTCTTAGCCGCGCTGCGGGGCTGGGGCTGGGGCTGGGGCTGGGCTTGGGGCTGGGCTTGGGGCTGGGGCTGGGGCTGGGGCTGGGGCTTGTGCTAGGTGGGCGGGCGAATCAAGTCGCCACCTGTCGGAGGGGAGGTACCACTGCAGCCCAGGAAATGGAGCCGAAAAGGATTTCAGCGACAGCAGTCTGCATTCCTGGGTTGGGAGAAGGCCTGCTCAGATGGGACTACCTGTGGATCCCAAGAAGGGCAGATATTCGGGGGTGGGGGTCGCAGTTAAGTTCCAGGTGGGCAGAGTTTCAGTGAGGTGAGGCATTTTGGCATTCAGCTGTGGAAACAAATGGGCAGCTTGAAACCAGCCACCTCTTCTCATAACTGCCGCTTTGACTCCACTTTTCCCTGTACCCCACAGAAGTTGGCTCAGGAGGGCCGTGCTCCGGTGGAATGCCCATCTCTGGGCCCAGTGCCCCATCGCCCTCCATTTGAACCGGGCAGTGCGGTGGCTACAGTGCCCCCCTACCTGGGTCCTGACACTCCAGCCTTGCGCACTCTCAGTGAATATGCCCGGCCTCATGTCATGTCTCCTGGCAATCGCAACCATCCATTCTACGTGCCCCTGGGGGCAGTGGACCCGGGGCTCCTGGGTTACAATGTCCCGGCCCTGTACAGCAGTGATCCTGCTGCCCGGGAGAGGGAACGGGAAGCCCGTGAACGAGACCTCCGTGACCGCCTCAAGCCTGGCTTCGAGGTGAAGCCTAGTGAGCTGGAACCCCTACATGGGGTCCCTGGGCCGGGCTTGGATCCCTTTCCCCGACATGGGGGCCTGGCTCTGCAGCCTGGCCCACCTGGCCTGCACCCTTTCCCCTTTCATCCGAGCCTGGGGCCCCTGGATCGAGAACGTCTAGCACTGGCAGCTGGGCCAGCCCTGCGGCCTGACATGTCCTATGCTGAGCGGCTGGCAGCTGAGAGGCAGCACGCAGAAAGGGTGGCGGCCCTGGGCAATGACCCGCTGGCCCGGCTGCAGATGCTCAATGTGACTCCCCATCACCACCAGCACTCCCACATCCACTCGCACCTGCACCTGCACCAGCAAGATGCTATCCATGCAGGTGAGACCCCCTCCTTCCTCTCCCTGGCCCTTTGGGGCCACCTTCCCCCATCATGACTGGGCTCTTTTGTTCTTCTGGCTGAGACTTTCCTCCCCTGGCCTGGCATGAACTTTTCCTGAGATTGCTGCCCTCAACTTTGCCTCCCTGACGTTCTCTCAGCCTTGTCTCCTCATGGCCTTGCCTGGCCACAGAGCCTGTATTCCCCACACCCCAGTCCTCTCCATAGTCTAGTATCCTACCCATGACAGGCCCAGGTGGGAGCCTTTGAAGGACACACCTTTCTATCCTCACAGCCCCATTCTCCCAAGCCCTTCACAAACATATCTTCTTATTTATTTTTTTGAGACATAGTCTCGCTCTGCCACCCAGCCTGGAGTGTAGTGGTGCAGTCACAGCTCACTGCAGCTTCAACTTCCTGGGCTCAAGTAATCCTCCTACCTCAGTCTCCAGAGTAGCTGGGATTATAGGTGTGTGTCACCATACCTGGCTAATTTTTGTAGTTTTGGTAGAGATGGGGTTTTGCCATATTGGCCAGGCTGGTCTCAAATTCCTGAGTTCAAAGCAGTCCACCCACCTTGGCCTCCCAAAGTCCTGAGATTACAGACGTGAGCCACCCTGCCCAATCCACAAACCTATTTTCTGATTTCTCTGGATTTAACTCTTATTTTTTGCCATTTTCTCCTTTTCTCACAGTGGGAGGTCTTTCATGTTCTTCCCCATCTCTAGATCTGTAACTTCCTAGAAGGGGCCCTGTAGCTTTGGGTTTGGGTGTCATAGGCAATAATGAGCTTTACTTACTATCCTTTCACCATTTTGTTTTTGAGACGGAGTCTCGCCCTGTCGCCAAGCTGGAGTGCAGTGGCGCGATCTCAGCTTACTGCAACCTCTGCCTCCCGGGTTCAAACGATTCTTCTGCCTCAGCAGGCACTGCCTGCCTGAGTTGCTGGGACTACAGGCGTGTGCCGCCAAATACAGCTAATTTTTGTATTTTTAATAGAGACGGGGTTTCACCATGTTGGCCAGGATAGTCTCGATCTCTTGACCTTGTGATCCGCCCACCTTGGCCTCCCAAAGTGCTGGGATTACAAGCGTGAGCCACTGCACCCGCTTGCTTTTTTTTTTTTTTTTTTTTTTAATTTGAGACCAAGTCTCGCTCTTTTGCCCAAACCAGAGTGCAGTGGCGCGATCTCGGCTCAGTGCAGCTTCCACCTCCCAGGTTCAAGCGATTCTCCTGCCTCAGCCTCCTGAAGAGCTGGGACTAGGCATGTGCCACCATGCCTGGCTAATTTTTTTGTATTTTTAGTAGAGACAGGGTTTCACCATGTTGGCCAGGCTGGTCTTGAACTCCTGACCTCAGGTGATCCGCCTGCCTCAGCCTCCCAAAGTGCTGGGATTATAGGCTTGAGCCACCGCACCTGGCCTCTTCCTGTCTTATTTCCTAAACTTCTATCTTCCACCTCCTTCAAGCAGTCTACCTCTCCCTCTCCTTCCCCTCAGACCCTTCTGATGACTAATTTCCTGTCCTCTGTCATCCATATGTCCCTCCTCCAGTAGGGCTCAGCCTGTCCACCCCCCCACCCACAGGCCTCTAGTTCTTCCATTCTGCCTTTGTTCCACTTTGGAGCTCCTTGTGTTTGTCCAACTCAATTCCCAGCCTTGGATCCCTTCACCCAAATGCATGGTTTTCCCTAAACCTGCCTTCTGGTGACACCTTCCTCTTCTCTGCTTTCCAGCCTCTGCCTCAGTGCACCCTCTCATCGACCCCCTGGCCTCAGGGTCTCACCTTACTCGGATCCCCTACCCAGCTGGAACTCTCCCTAACCCCCTGCTTCCTCACCCTCTGCACGAGAACGAAGTTCTTCGTCACCAGCTCTTTGGTAAGGATGGAAGTTGGGGTAGGCAAGCTGTAATGAGAAAAGGGCAGAAAGGAGGTATTTAGGTGGGGGGATGGGCCTAGTTGGGCTTGAGGAGGAATGAGGAGATGCCTAGAGGAGCTGGGCATGGGAATAGGAGAGCTGAACCTCTGCCCAAGAGACGCACAAGTTTTAGTGTCAGCCTAAGAGGTTTGAATCCCAATTCCACTCTACCACTGGCAACTTACAGAACTGGCTGTGTTACCTAACTTTTTAGTTCATTACCTTTGTATGTAAAGGAGCTGGCTATCCCCTGGTCCAGAGCAGGTGCTTGTTATCCATTGGTCATGTGACCCTTGCCCTTCCTGCTCACAGCTGCCCCTTACCGGGACCTGCCGGCCTCCCTTTCTGCCCCAATGTCAGCAGCTCATCAGCTGCAGGCCATGCACGCACAGTCAGCTGAGCTGCAGCGCTTGGCGCTGGAACAGCAGCAGTGGCTGCATGCCCATCACCCGCTGCACAGTGTGCCGCTGCCTGCCCAGGAGGACTATTACAGGTACCCCAGGGTCCCCAGGGGGACATGGGCTCAGCGAGCCTGGGAGGGGCTGTGGGCATGGAACAGCTGGGCACTGTGCTCCTGGGGGGAGGGAACCCCTCCTCTCCCAACCCCTTTGGTAAGGGGGCAAGGTCAGGGTTGGTCTCAAGTCTCTTACCTCTCTGCTATGCACTGCCCCTTCCCTAGTCACCTGAAGAAGGAGAGCGACAAGCCACTGTAGAACCTGCGATCAAGAGAGCACCACGGCTCCTACATTGGACCTTGGAGTATCCCCACCCTCCCCCCACCCCACCCTTGGCCTGCCACCCAGAGCCAAGAGGGTGCTGCTGAGTTGCAGGGCCTCCGCAGCTGGACAGAGTGGGGGAGGGAGGGACAGACAGAAGGCCAAGGTCTGGTGTGGTGTGCAGAGGTGGGGAGGAGGCGAGGATGGGGACAGAAAGCGCACAGAATCTTGGACCAGGTCTCTCTTCCTTGTCCCCCCTGCTTTTCTTCTCCCCTATGCCCAAGCCCCGTGGCCGCCGCCCCTCCCCTGCCCCGTTGGTGTGATTATTTCATCTGTTAGATGTGGCTGTTTTGCGTAGCATCGTGTGCCACCCCTGCCCTTCCCTGATCCCTGTGTGCGCGCCCCCTTTGCAATGTATGCCCCTTGCCCCTTCCCCACATTAATAATTTATATATATAAATATCTATATGACGCTCTTAAAAAACATCCCAACCAAAACCAACCAAACAAAAACATCCTCACAACTCCCCAGGAACATGGCTGTGACTGTTCTTTGCGGGATATGGGGGTGAGGCTGGGTCTCAGTGCAGCCGTACTTAGAACTGCAGCCAGGCTCTGGCAGGAAAGCGGGAAGAGACCAGTCCTTCTTAAGGAACTGGGTGTACGGGCTGGGAAGAATTGGCGAGGGGATCCCTGAAGAGCCTGGAGCATTGACTCAGCCCGAGGCGGTACCGGGGGTGCTAGTGCTCCCTCCTGTCCCAAGGCTGGGAAGTCAAAATACTGGAGGCCTGGGCCTGGGCTCTGTGGCTCATGCCTGTAATCCCAGCACGTTGGGAGGCTGAGGCGGGTGGATTGCTTGAGCCTAGGAGTTGGAAACCAGCTTGGGCAACATAGAGAAACCCCATCTTAAAAAACAATCCCCTGGGCGTTGTGGTGCACTTGTGGTCCTAGCTACTCAGGAGGCTGAGGTGAGAGGATCACTTGGGGGTCGAGGCTGCAGTGAGTCATGATCGCACCACTGCACTCTAGCCTGGGTGACAAAGCAAGGCCCTATCTCAAAACAAAAGAAACCCCAACCAACCAAACACTAGAGGCCTGGGACAAGCCCACCTCTGACATGGTCAGGTCTTGGAATCTATTCAGAGGGGTCTCACTGTTAGGAGCCACCAGAGTCCTCTGGAACAAAGGCTTCAGAGTCCTGAATCCTTTCCATGGAATAGTTTAAGAAACGGTTATGAGGCCAGGTGCGGCGGCTCACGCTGGTAATCCCAGGACTTCGGGAGGCCGAGGCGGGCGGATCACGAGGTCAGGAGTTCGAGACCAGCCTGCCAACATGGCAAAACCCTGTGTTTACTAAAAAATTAGCTGGGCATGGTGGTGCGCACCTGTAGTCCCAGCTACTTGGGAGGCTGAGGCAGAAGAGTCGCTTGAACCCAGGAGGTGGTGGTTGTGGTGAGCCAAGATCCCTCCAGCTGCACTCCAGCTTGGCGACAGAGCAAGACTCCATCTCAAAAACAAAAAACAAAACCAGTTATGAAGCGGGGATGGGGTGGGCTAGTTTTAATAGATCCAGGCGATTAGTACCTGGCATCCTTAACCACCCTACAGTTTGAGAAGGGAGTGGTTGATAATCTCAAAAGCCTGGAAGGGAAGGGAAATCAGGCCGGGCGTTATGCTCCGTCGCCCATCAGTAGACAAGGCCATTTTAGGAAAGTGCGAGAATGGCTTTTGCTCTGGGCTTTTACTGCCGAATCCAGGTCTCTGGGCTTAACAACAACGAACGGGCTGTGACTGGCTGGTATCTCAGCCAATCAGCATCGAACTCATTTGCATAGGCTGAGAGCAAATGTTCGCGAACTCTAGAAATGAATGACTTAAGTTCCTTAAAATATTCTTTTTCCTACCGAAAGTTACAACATGCATCGTTGTTTATACAGTAATAGGAACAAGAAAAAAAGCCACCTGAGTTCACCCTCACCAATTGTGGAGTTCATGCATATCCCTTCTTCTCTCTACACACATGCGCAACAGTGTTACAGCTCTTTTAGAATTTGTCTAGCAGGCTTTCCGGTATTTGCCGGAAAGCCCCTTTCACATAGCTTGTTCATAACAATAGAATCTGTTTAGTGCGCGCAATTTCCGTTAAGTTCTTTTAGTAGGTAGTTTTCCCGGTGCAAACGATGTTAGAAGGTTTGGATGCGAAAGTTCGGACCACGCCTGGGGGCTTCCGGCTACACCGGATGTTGCTTCCTTTCCGCCCCCACTGGTCTTGGGAACTGTTAGTAGGACGTGGCTCTTTCTTCCTGAGCTTTCCATTTATCTCCGCTGCACTTGCAGCTTCAGACGCCGTATGGCGTCCGCCGCGTCCCAACCCGCGGCCCTCAGCGCTGAGCAGGCAAAGGGTGAGAATAATCGTAGTCAACGCATGGGTTGCCGGTCCGGGGAGGATGCGGGCAGAGGATGTGGGGCGACAAACCTGGCTTCGTCCGCCGGGAAAACAGGGTAGGGGACGCCGGGTCCCGTCGTTCTAAGTGGGGCGCTTGCCCCCAAGACTCGGGATCTTATTGGGTTACCTATAGCCTCAATCCACTAATTCCCTGCGCTCTCCACTGGGCCCGCTCTCCGTTCTCCGACGCCTACCCGGGACGCCTCCCTGGGATGCTTCTGACGCGCAGTGGTCCTGGCGGAGGTGATCCAGGCGTTCTCCGCCCCTGAGAATGCAGTGCGCATGGACGAGGCTCGGGATAACGCGTGCAACGACATGGGTAAGATGCTGCAATTCGTGCTGCCCGTGGCCACGCAGATCCAGCAGGAGGTTATCAAAGCCTATGGCTTCAGCTGCGACGGGGAAGGTGGGTCAGACACGGGAAGGCGGGGGTTGGGTCGGGAGAGGGCGCCGGATCTGTGGGGCCCTGAGTGGTTGTCCCCTTTCTCGCCACACGGCGACAGTGTTGGCACTCAGAGCTCAGGGTCTACCCTGAGCTTGTGCCTCCGAGTTGCATTTTGTACAGGAGAGGTTCCGTATCCCTTATCCGAAATACTTGGGACCAGAAGTGTTTTGGATTTTTTCAGATTTCGGAATATTTACGTATACGTGGATATCTTGGGGGATGGGACTCAAATCTGAACACGAAATTGTTTTGTTTCGTATACATACAGCTTAAGCACATAGCCTGAAGGTAATTTTATATAATAGTCTGAATAATCTTGTGCATGAGACAAAGTTTTGACTGCGTTTTGACTACAGTCCCCCCACCCCCACCCCCCACCATGAAGTCAGGTGTGGAATTTTCCATTTTTGGCTTCACACTGGCACTCAAATAATTTCAGATTTTGGGTTTTCTAATTAAGGATGGTCAACCTGTACTGTGAATCACATTATTATTACATTTTGTGATGAGGGAGCAAACGCTAATGGTGCAGACTTTTAGTAGTAGCAGAGCTGGACGTCAACGCTGTTGTGCCATCTTTTAGTGAGAGGTCTGCATTACAGCAGTGGCTGCAGTCTCTCCAGGGTGTTTCAGCTAATTTCTGTTTGGGGGTTGGTGGTTAAATTTTTGGTGAGATCCTGGTGTTCCCCAAAGGTGCTGACTGATTCAGCTCTGCTGCCCCATAGCCTTCCTGCGTTCCAGCTACAGACCCGGGGTCTCGTGTTCATTCATGGGGTTCCAGTGACTAAACTGCTAAAAGGGTTCACCTGAGAGCAAGAAGCACACTGCCTTGGGATATTTTCATTCACTGCATCCCATCTAGTTGTGCCCAGTGTAGACCAAGAAGTTGATCCAAACCACATAGGACAGAGGCCTGCATGCGTCCTGTTTTGCAAACAGCTGCCCAGCCAGTGGGGAAGCAGTTCATGCTTAAACTACCACCCCCTCCAGCTGTCTTACGCAGCTGGTCCTTGGAAGAAGCGTTGACCCTCCACTCCCTCTTGCAGGTGTCCTTAAATTTGCTCGCTTGGTCAAGTCCTATGAAGCCCAGGATCCTGAGATCGCCAGCCTGTCAGGCAAGCTGAAGGCGCTGTTCCTGCCGCCCATGACCCTGCCACCCCACGGGCCTGCTGCTGGTGGCAGCGTGGCTGCCTCCTGAGAGTTGGCCCTCCCTGTGCCCCTGCCAGGGAAGAAAAGGCCTTGATGTTCCAGACGATAATAAACGTGCCTGTGACTTAGCCTTGGTGTCAGTCTTTTGCAGACTTGACAACCCCCATCTCACCTTCCCAGATTCCCTCTGCCTTTCCAGGCCCCATCCCCATGTACAGCTCCTTCCTATACTCCTGGCTGGGCCTAACCCTGCTCCAGTGAGGGCCTGAGGCTCCTCCCCTTCCCCCAGGGCAGGGTGAGAGGCTGGACTGGGCCCCTCGACGCTCTGGGTGGGTGGGCGGGCCTGCACTGGGGACACCTCCTTCTCTGAGGAATTGGGCTGTTAGGACTTTCCCTTAGGCCCTTTGGTTTCCACCTACTGAGAGCTTTCCCCCATTGGTTGCTCTTCCCTCAGCCAGGGTTACTTCCTGGTCTTTGCTCCTACCCAGCGTCCCGCTGCTCTGTCAGCTTGAGCTCCAGGTGGAGCTCCAGGTGGCTCCTCCTCTCCCGAGGGAAGGGGGCCCTGGCCCAGCGGGCAGGCCTGCTGTACTCCCGCACTGGGGCTGCAGGGAAGCTGGCCACTGTGGGCGGTCTCAGGCCAGCCCCGCCCCACCTGTCCTTTTCCCGGAGACTATTAGTCCAGGGTTTGTCCCTGCGGTGCCATTGGCCTGGCAGGCTGGATCGAGGAGGAAGTGGCTGATTTCTGAGTGGTTCTTCCTCTCCTGGCTTGGGCCGCTGTGCACAGCTGTGCCCCTGGCTCAGCCCCGCCCCCTGTGGCCCTCCGCTGTGACTTCCCCATCCCTACAGAGAGATGCTGTCCTGTGGGTAAGTCCCAGGCACCACCTGGGTCCTAGTCTCCTGTTAGTTTTGGAGGGAGGGAGGGCCTTGTTGATGCTCACTCCATCATGTATGTGAGCGTGAGTGCGATCTGCCGCTGCCCTGCCATGCGCCTGCTTCCGATCCCTATAAACCTTCCCCTTCCCGCAAAGTGTGAGGACCCCCAGGCTCACTCATGCCCCTCTGCCCCATCTTTAACATTTTCCGCCTGACAAGTGTGTATCTGTTCTCTCCATTGCATTTCTACTTCCAGCCTCTGGGCTCCTGCTTCTGTCTCCTGCTTAGGACCTGTCCCCCGTGGGTAGCTCACAACACCTGAAACAGCAATCAGAGGCCACCCGCGAAGGCCCTCCCATGCCCAGCCAACTTCCCCGCTCTTCCCAACATCTGACTTTGGTCCCATCTTCCTTCCGTTTCCTTTCACTTCCCGTTCCCCTGCATCATTCATTCAACAGGTACGTGTTGAGCGTCTGTTACACACCAGGTGTTGTTTAAGATGCTGGTAATACTGGAGTGAACAAGACAGACATGGTCCCTGCTCTCACGGAGCTTACATTCCAGTGGGAGGTTACAGACTGAACAAATAACCCAATAAATTGGATCATTGCAGATTCTCAGAAGTGTTATGCAGTAAATGAAACAGCCTCGGCTGGGTGTAGTGGTTCACGCCTGTGATCCCAGCACATTGGGAGGCTGAGGCGAGACGATTGCTTGAGCCCAGGAGTTTGAGACCAGCCTGGCCATATAGTGAGACCCTGTCTCTACAAAAAATAAGAAATTAGCTGGGTATAGTGGAATGCGTCTGTGGTTCCAGCTATGAGCCTGGGAGGTCAAGGCTGCAGTGAGTAGTGATTGCACCACTGCACACCAGCCTGGGCGACAGAGCGAGACCTTGTCTCAAAGAAAAAAAAAGAAAACCAGCTTCATGTGCTAGCAAGTGACTGGGTGTGCAGGTGACATTACTAGCTGGAGGGATCGGGGAGGCCTTCCCGAGGAGGTGACATTTGAGCTGAGACCTGCTTGAGGAGGAAGAGGAGCCAGCCATGTGATGTGGTGATCAAGGCCTGGGCAGAGGAGCATCCCTGGGCAGAGGAGATGGTGAGCACAAAGCCCTAATGTGGGAACAAACAAAAAAAGGACCGTGTGTCCGTGGCAGAGGGCCCTCGTGGAGCAGAGGCAGGGCCACGGCAGGTTAGACCTTGTTGGATCTGGGATGTTGAAAGTGAAAACCTGGCCAGATGAGGTGGTGCATGCCTGTGATCCCAGCACTTTGGGAGGCCGAGATGGGAGGATCGCTTGAGCTCAGGAGTTTAAAACAAGCCTGGGCAACATAGAGAGATTCCATCTCTATTAAAAAAAAAAAAAAAAAATACTGGGTGTGATGGCCCAAGCATGTAGTAGTCCCAGCAGTTTGGGAGACTGAGGTGGGAGGATCACTTGAGCCTAGGAGTTCAAGACCACGCCGGGCAACATACAGAGAGACCCCATCTCAACTATGACTACTACTACTAAATAGCTGGACATAGTGGCACGCACCTGTGGTCTCAGTTACTTGGGAGGCTGAGGCAGGAGGATCACCTGAGCCAAGGAGGTTGAGACTGCAGTGAGTTGTGATTGTGACACTGCACTTTTCAGCCTGGGTGACAAAGCAAGATTCTGTGTCATAAAAAGAGAGAGAGAGAGAGAGGAAGGAAGGAAGGAAGAAAGGAAGGAGAGGAAGAAAGAAAGAAAAAGAGAAAGAAGGAAGAAAAGGAAAGCGAGAAAGAGGAAAGAAGAAAAAAAATAAAATAAAGAGAAAAAGAAAAAGTGACAACTGGCCAAAAGAAAGAAGAAAGAAAAAGTGACAACTGGCTGGGCGCGGTGGCTCACGCCTGTAATCCCAGCACTTTGGGAGGAGTTCGAGACCAGCCTGGCCGACATAGTGAAACCCTGTCTCAACTAAAGATACAAAAAAAGAAAAGAAAAGAAAAGAAAAAAAATTAGGCGGGCACAGTAGGGCGCACCTGTAGTCCCAGCTACTAGGGAGGCTGAGGCAGGAGAACTGCTCGAACCTGGGAGGCAGAGGTTGCAGTGAGCCAAGTCTGCGCCACTGTACTCCAGCCTGGGCGACAGGGAGAGACTCCATCCCCAAAAAAAATACAAAAAAGAAAAAGTGACAACCTGATTACAGAGTACTGGTGAGTTTGTGGGTGGGTGGCTCCCCAGCCCTGCTGATTCTTGCTTCTCACACTCACATCTGCTCCTGCCCCAGTGCACGTCTTGTCACTGTCGGCCCCACCGATGGGGTTCCAACTGAGTCTTCTGGTGCTTGATCCTTTCCGTGGTCATTTTCCTGCCAGGTAGCTTGGCCAGGCCTCCCCTGGTGCAGATTCCATCCTTGGTTTCTCAGCCTGGCCTTGAATGACCCTCTACAGCAGGGTCCCAACCTCTCAGAGCAGCTTTGCTCCAGCCACACAGCTTGCTCACAGCCAGGCACTGCACATGTGGACTCTGTGCGTGCCACCCCTTTGCCCTGATGCATGTTGCCTCTGGGGGAGCACTTCTTCCTCCACCTTCCATCATGGGCTGTGGTGGTGCCTATCCCATCTGACCCCGACGCTGTCTGCTGCGGTATGGTTGGTGGTGGAAAGGGCACCAGGCTCCGGCATCTGACATCCTTGTTTTACCCACCTTCCCACTCACTAGCTTGTGACCCTGGCCAATTACTTAACATCTCTGAGTGTTAGTTTCTATTTCTATAATTGGGTGAATAACACCTACTAAGTAGTGTTGGCCTGAGGATTAATACTATAATGTAAAAGCTGGCGGCACTGAAACCCTGCCACTTACCAGCTTTTCACATCAGTATTTGGGAAATATTCTTAAGCTCATTTGTCCACGGGGATTCTGAGGCTCAGAGAAGTTCACGAATTTTCTATAGATTATTTTGCTTTATTCGCCCTTCCAGACTGCCTATCTTCTTATATCACCGTTGATCTTGATCTGCATGGTTTTTAATTTTTTTTTTTTTGAGACGGAGTTTCACTCTGTTGCCCAGGCTAGAGTGCAGTGGCCCGATCTCGGCGCACTGCAACCTCCACCTCCCAGGTTCAAGCAATTCTCCTGCCTCAGCCTCCTGAGAAGCTGGGATTACCGGCGTGTACCACCACACCCAGCTAATTTTTGTATTTTCAGTAGAGTCGGGGTTTCACCATGTTGGCCAGGCTGGTCTCGAACTCCTGACCTCAAGTGATCTGCCCACCTCAGCCTCCCAAAGTGCTGGGATTACAGATGTGAGCCACCACGCCTGGCTTGGTTTTTAATTTTTTAAAAATTCACTGGGCCGGGCGCGGTGGCTCACGCCTGTAATCCCAGCACTTTGGGAGGCTGAGGCGGGCAGATCACGAGGTCAGGACATGGAGACCATCCTGGCCAGCATGGCGAAACCCTGTCTCTACTAAAAATACAAAAAAATTAGCCGGGCGTGGTGGCGGGCGCCTGTAGTCCCAGTTACTCAGGAGGCTAAGGCAGGAAAATGGCGTGAACCCAGGAGGCGGAGCTTGCAGTGAGCAGAGATCGTGCCATTGCACTCCAGCCTGGGCGACAGTGCGAGACTCCGTCTCAAAAAAAAAAAAAATTATTTTTTTTATATTTATTTATTTTGAGATGGAGTCTTGCTCTGTCACCCAGGCTGGAGTGCAGCCGCCCAATATCGGCTCACTGCAAGCTCCGCCTCCCAGGTTCCAGCGGTTCTGCTGCCTCAGCCTCCCGAGTAGCTAGGATTACAGGCGCCTGCCACCGCGCCTGGCTAATTTTTGTATTTTTAGTAGAGATGGGGTTTCACTGTGTTGCCCAGCTGGTGTCGAACTCCTGACCTCAAGCGATCCTCCCACCTCGGCCTCCCAAAGTGCTGGGATTACAGGTGTGAGTCACTGCGTCCAGCTGTATTTTTATTTTTATTTTTATTTTTATTTTTTGAGACAGTGTCTCACTCTGTCACCCAGGCTGGATTACAGCGGCATAACCATGGCTCACTGCAGCCTCGACCACCCCACACTCAAGTGATCCTCCCATCTCAGTCTCTCAAGTACCTGGGGCTACAGGGGCTGTGCCACCACACCTGTATTTTTTGTAGAGACAGGTTTCCCAGGCTGGTCTCAAACTCGGGGTCAAGCAATCCACCAGCTTCACCCCCACCAAGTGCTGGGATTACAGGCGTGAGCCACTGCACCTGGCCTTGATCTCGACTTTTATCTTCCTGCTTCCAAGGAAA